TTTTTAATTCTTCCTTGTAAATGCACAAATTAATTAAACAACATTTTTTGGCCATACATATTTGCTTTTTCTCCTTTTTTGTTCTTGTTCTTAGTTTCAAACTCAAAGACAATTAAAAGAAAATTAACAAAAACCCTTTACCATGACGTATCTATCCGTCAACTTCCCGTACTACAAACACCAACAGTCCACTTCCCCCGTCTTCATTCCACGATTCCAGGTCCCCGTTCCTGGAAAATACACCCAAATATCTTAAATTATATTTGCGGTAACAAAGTGTGCCCTTTTGAACTTTCATATTTTGATCCGAATTTGAAATCGCCGCATAGAGTTATTAACAAAATAAATAATTATAAAAATCAAATTAAGTGCCTTTAAAAGCACTAACTTTTTAAGAAACCAAGTCGAAGAAAATCTTGCAATGTGTGAAAAAAAGGTTTTCCATTTTATTAGATTCTGCCCATTGTTTGTCACATTGAAGGTTCCCCATGATAACGCCATATGAACACACTCTGGGGATGTTCATAATTCACAATTTTGTTGTTGTTGGGTTTTTCTCTATTAGGATTCTTATTTCTCTATTTTAGAGAGGGAGCCTATAGATTTCTCTTTTAGGGAACATATAATTGTCCATAAAACAAAAATTGGAGTCCTAGTCGACAATCTCAAAAACAGAAGCTTTGTGTTCGTATGCGATGTACATTGTAATGATACCCCACACTCTGATTTAACATCTACTTATACACAATGACCAAACTTGGATAGATTTTCATACTTGATTACTTAATAACTTACCCTTATCATCACACAGCCCGCATTAATATTCCTGGAGTCACGTGCCTTGGGTTCTTGGCTCTTTATTAACATTTAGAGTATTGTCACTCAGATTATGTCTATAAGCCCCGATTCTGATCGTTGTCCCACAAAAATATATGCTTATACCTATTAGAGGGAAACCAACTATAATTCAATAAATAACCTCGTTATTATAGTTTTACTTTTTTGTTTTTTGTTTGTTTCATTTTAAACGCCTTTCCCAACAGTAATTTCAGTCATATAGGCGGTAGTTTCCCTAACCATCGTTTTGGAGAAGTTACACCAGTCCTTTAACTTAACCTTTCCCTCCGTGCCTAAAACTACCAAAAAGTTTATTGTTTTATATGAACAAGTTAGTTGTTAAACCGTACCAGATTTGAGTGTAATTGATTTTAATTATAATGAAAAAAAAAATTTCAGAAATTTGCCATTTTTATATCAGAGTAATTGGATAACCCTTTTTTGTTTGGGTGTCCTACGACAGTTCCTGGTGCATTACCAAAAATTCTTGGTCCCCCCATTTCAAGTCTTACCTCTAACAACACGGGAAAACCAATCGATGGTAACCCACCTTGCTCCTCAAATCCGATAGTGTCCACATTTCTACAGAGGAATGATTGAAATAAATAAATCAATCAACGGACAAAATGACTAGAACTGTAAAACGTTAGCATCAATTCTCTCTAAATATCCAGTAAAATGTTATTTACTTGTCTTTTATATATCCACTTGCATAAATCTTTTTCTTTTCTTTTCTACGATAAAAATGTAGCAAAAGTGATTTTAATGGATATAAAATACACAAGACAAGTAATTAGCATTTTATCGGAAATTTTGAGTGAACTGATTACACCGTTTTACAGGAGTTATAAAGAACTGACTGTACAGTTTAATCGAAATTTACAGAACTGCTAGATACTTTTGTCACCGTCTTAATGGAGATTTAAAGAACTGGTTACATCTTTTAAACTAAATGAGTACCTTTAATACTGTACTATGTACATTTAGAGAACTGCTTTAACTGACATATGGGCAGAACTATCCATACCGTCTAAATGGGTGCTACAGTTATAGTGATTAAATAAATGGTCAATTAAAACCAATAATAAACGATAAGAGATAAAAGCCATTTCACATTTTATCTTAAACCATCCAAAAATTTATGTTAAACAATGCTTAACCTTTAAAAAGCTAAATTGTAACATTTTCAATATCAAAGTCACAGAAAGATTTGGTTTTATTATTGGTGTAACTGAAAGTAATTTTAAAATAAAAACCTTGTAGGCACCCATTCTGGAAGATCTGGTGGATCATCATTTTCTTCTTCATCTTCTTCTTCTTCTTCTTCATCATCATCATCATCATCATCATCATCAAAACAATTTGTTTTCGCTTTCCCGCTACCATTATCCTAAATGATAGATGCAGAAAAAAAATTAACAAAATGTCTAGATATTCGTTCTTATTTCCTATAAAAAATAAACTTTTCAAATAGTCTTTCAAATATTGATGCGTTATTTCCTTTACTTATATTATTTCATTGTACAATCAAATTATATTGATCATTGATGCTAAAAGTCATGTCAAGACGTCATTTGCGGAAAGATGCCATTATATACGTGAAAATCAGGGTATATAACTTAAGGTCCAAAACATTTTTGAAGTTAAGACGGAAAGAATTGCAAAAGATAATTAAGAAATATACACAGAAATAAATTGAAAATCGTATTTTAGTGTTATTTTAGCTCAATTCGATTGAAAAGCGTTGAAACAATTATTTCTTGTAAAAAACTGATCGAATGGTCTGACAATTCGCACACACTCTATTGGAGCATCCATTGAAATATTATTTTCTAGTCCGTCATGTCAAGAAACCTTAGTAGCGGTAGATGCTTACTTTAACTTTGTTAGTATTTAACAAATTATTTACAAATTAAACTTTCACAAAATGGTTTACAATAACGTCGAAAAACATATCAATGACAAGTAAAGTGGAATACTTTAAATCAACCGATAGCCTTTTTAGATTGGAACAATTAAGGTGACACTTTGAAATTTTGAAAACCGTCACCTGATAACCGTGTGTGCACATATATAGTATAAAAACTATAAACAAGAGACTTTAACTAAGGTTAACAAAGGTATAATTTATGACAATTTCAAAAGCTAAGAAATGCTTAAAATTTAAAATATTAGTTGTTTTTTTTACTTTATTCTCCGTAGGTGAAACAATTTCTTCTTCATCTGAATCGTCTATCAACCATCTTCTTTTTGTAAAACCTTTTCCAACAATGCAACAACGGCTTTCTGTGAAAAATATTTGTTTAGAATGTTAAGTCCATTGATTATACAATATGTATGTAGCATCATACAGCATGATAATGGTACCTAGCCACTCCCAATAACAAACAGAAATTAAAATATGTCATATATCTTTTTTATAATTTACGAAACAATTTCAAAACTTCATGTTAATATGAAAAATGATGATAATAATTAAAAATAAAATTGATTATCATCATATAATATTTGATGGATAATGAAAATACTCCTGATGACAGGAAAGGAATGTATACCCCCTACTCTTTCCTATCCTACCTTTCCGTCCCCCCCCCCCCCCCCAAAAAAAAGAAACCCTAAAAACAAGTGAATGTATATAAAAATCTTTATTAAAGTCCATACATAACAACACATAAAAGAGATCAATTACATCATTTTACAAGACAATATAAAAGTTGTTTGTATACGGCCATTCTATTTTGAATTACAAGAGACTGTAAAAGTAACATAGAAAGGAAGGAAACTCCCAAGCTCACACAGCAAGGATTTCCAATATACGTTACAGAGTTACGTCTCTTCCTATTGCATATATAAAAATAAGCTTGTTCTGAAGGAGTTTAAATGTATTACCTCATGCTTCTTATCTAAACCAGTCTGCGGCATGGTGCTTTGTACAAAGCGAATACACATCCAAATCTTGGTTATTTTTTAAACCCTCGTCATAATCAACAAAGCTCGACCAATGGTCACCTGAAGTTAAAAAAACGTTCAAGTTATACTAAATTTTGTTATTACTTTCATATCTTCATATCCTGGAAATGGAAATCTTAATTAATGAGTAAAAATGGTTTTAACATCTATAGTAAAATATCTCATGAATTTTGTGAAATGCAAAACAGAAGCAAGGATCATAATGATTATTTCTAATGAATCTGGCAATCTTTGACATCCCTAATGAGCTATGTTTGCATATTTTTACCTATTTTTGGTTATTTGCATGAAATGTTAATACTGATTGCAATGTGTAAATTCTTTCTTTGTTCACTTTACCATATTTCACTTTGAAATACATTTTCAAGATTTTCATAAAAAATATCATGGATCCGGAGGTTTTAATATGGCGATACTTGCATACTTGCCATGCAAATATTTCCAATTATCACGTACGTTTTCTCGTACATATTAAAACATGAATTAATTCATACTTATAGACTGAGTAAAACTGACAGTACCTGGTATCTATAATAGTTCCCGACGTTTTGTGCACCTTTATGTGGCACGATCTCACCACCACATTTAGAAATAAAGCCCTCCGTCACCGGACGGTTGCTCTCCCCAATAGGAACGCAAAACACGCCATATTCACGTGACTTATATGTAAGACCTAACTTGAACAGCTCTCTCTGTACCTGTTCATTGAATGGTATCATGTTTTAGAACAAAAAAACAAAACAAAGGAGCAACGACAATCATAAAATTCTATAAACATAATATTTATAAAGATTTACACATAATATATTTACCACTAAACGAACACCGTTTGAGTAATTCAAAGTTCACTCATTCAATGTCTAAACAAGATGAAGTAAGCTTTAGTATGACTTTTTTATAGTGTAAACTAAATATATTGCATGATATATGCAGTTAATGATAATTAACTGATACATAGTCAATATAACATGTATTCTTGTGAACAAACATCTACGAAATCATACCACAGTAATAATCTTAAAATGACATTTTTCATTGTCAAATTGTCAAACTGACTATATATTTCAAAAAACTGGTCGTTATAATAGGGATTGGCCAACACATGATATTTGTAAAAAATAAATCAACCTAAATATATAAAAGACTGCCCCACTCTTTTTATAAATTGAAAGTAACAGATAATTACACACATTTCACACGGCTTAGTGAGTTATTTATCGTTCATGTGAAGTAAATTATAAAATTGAAAGGAATTATGAGAAAATGTAAACTTATTTTGACTTTCACCTGTTCACTCTATATCTACCTATGGATGGGCATAATGTCACTTTAATACATAACCATTTTCTATTTTGTGATTGAGTCCAAATAAAATAAAGGGCATGTAAAAGTTATAAGACCTACTTTAATTCTGTCCTCGCTGTTGTCGGCGTCCCTCCCCTTAAACTGTGTGTCAATCGTAGCATCAAAGTCGGACACAATTATCACTCTCGGCATTATAATATGTGTGCCAACTTTCACACATTCACCTAGGCAGCAAAACAAATCTTAGTTTATATGCGGATGACGTTAATTTGTAAACAATATCAGTATCAGTCATACATAAATCAGCTGAAACTAAGGCCAATAATGATAAATAATAACCATTTATTAACAATAAAAGCCTGGGTTGTGTTTCATGGAAAGTCGTTATTCTTATATTTGTCTGAAGACCAATCTTATGACAGATTCGTGTTTCAAAGAAATTATCATTCCTCTGTTAATACTTGATCAACTGACAGATTGTGCCATTGTATCTCTTAAATTTTCTCGGGAGAATGAAATAAATTAAGGTCCATGTCTTTGACTAAAGATAAATACATTTGAAACGCTTTCAAGTTAGTCATACAGATTGTCTTAACTTCCAGGATGAAACGCAGCCACGAAAACAGTCAAATATATCAGGAAAACATTTTTTTTTTGTTAATTTTTAGGCAACTATCCCATAACCTGACACATTTAAGTTGTGCTAAAACCTATACAGTATAGCCTATCTATGATAAAGTGATGTGGGTATTTTTTCATATTGTATAACTATTTCAGTACCGTAACATTTCTGCTAACACAAGTGCCTGTTGCACCTGGTGATGCTCCTCGAATAGGTTTTTGACACAGAGAAGTAGTTTCTTGTTGATATCTCCAGTAGTTTTAGAGTTATGTCCCAGACAATGTTCAAAGAGTAAAAAAGGGCAATAACTCCAAAATCATGAAAGGCAGAGCTACGGTCTTATGCATTGCACTTCTATTTAATAAAATCTATCTGTAGACTAAGTTCCTTGACAATAGCTCTTGTAGTTTCAAAGTTATCTTGTAAAGTTATGACCCGGACATGGAATTGCTGATGGACGGACGGATGTCCGGACGGACAAAACGGCGACAAAAAATTGAATCAGTGGAATGATAAGAACACAATAGAAAACTTACTTTGTAGTTCAAGGTAGCACAATGCAAGTGTCAATGACGTCATCAGGGGTGTTCTTCCTCCCAGTACAAGTCTGTCTGTTATTTTAATTGTAAAATGTAAACAAAACATTTCATTTTCTGTATAAGTTATTTTCTTTTCACTAACAAAATAACGTGGAATGTTTCTATATGCACGAGAAAGGTATAAAGATTTACTGTTGAAACTATTGCCGATGTCCTTCACCGTTGAATTCTGAGGCGTATGTTAAGATGGGTTGGATCTTTGAAAAGTGCTGTTGCATAAACTTAAATCAATTCAATATCATGCAATCTACAAACTTATTGACACAATGTGTTAAATGTTTATAAATGTAAGGTGTTAAGTATTTTGACACGTGAAATGTAATAAACAATTAGCACATGACTTACCTAATGTGTTTCTGACCTGAACATAGTCATTAGTAAATGGCTGGGCAATACCTGTTGCCTGACCGCACGTTATAACCGCTATGTATTCTTCAAGACCAAATTCTCCGGCTGATGTATCAATACCTAAATATAAACGACATTAATTATTCAATGAAATGCAGAAAGTCATATTCTGCGACTCCATGAAAATGGTATTGCACGGACGTGTATTTCGATGTGCGTAAAACGTTATACTATAAATGCGTCAATGATAATACTATATTTTACTGTAAACTGTATTCAAACGCACGTTCACTGAATAAAACTGTGAATCATAACCCTTGCATTTAAATCAAATGTCTCTTTAGTCCTCGTAAACATATTGGATGTTTTAATATCTACCAAAAGTAACTTTCTTAAGTATAAAGATTATCGTAATTCCACAGTGTTCATTAACTTTGAAGATTTTCAAACGTAATATATTCTTATAAAAAAATAAATTCTGCCTGAAACACGAGCTCAAAAAGTGACAATTTTAGAATCTTTAGAATTTTGTTCTCATATATTCTTGACGACTTAACTGATTGGTTTATCTTCTTTTTTTTTCTTTTTATATCTTTTTTTATTTAAAAACAACATCATGATTTTAGACAGAAATGGAACACTTTCAGCGTTCACGGACAAACAAAGTCATTCATATCATTAAGTCATTGACGTTTTCTCACTGATTTACACGGCAAATAGCTTTTCTTTTTTATAAGTGTGCATAGTTTCAGCTCAGATAATTTGTTATTTAAAAAATAATATCTATTACCCAGAAACTTGAACAGTACAATACTTAACGATCATGCATTAAAATTAATATTATGTTCCTTGGTCGTACAGTATTGTTAAATATTCTTTAACACAATTCCAGTTGTGTATCATTTCAAAGCGAACAAAAACATGCCCTATGTTTCTCTATGATACATACCGTCTATGACTGTATTGACGAATGATTTAGCTGTGTCGAACGGTTTACCCTTCATACTTTCAGATATGTCAACGATGACCACAGTATGTAAAGCTGGTGGTCGTGAGTCACGTCCGGTTCCTTTCTCTGAAATCATTAATTTACTATTAGGTAGGCTCGATTATTAAACTAGCATTCACTATAAATACACAAAGGGTGAACGTTGGTCGAGATTAATAATGCTAGTAATTGGTGGATTTCCCCTTCACGTATATTTTCATGCGCATGTTCACATAGATATACAGTCAATAAACTAAACGTTTAATACATGACAAATCATTATTCACATTCTTTTAATGTAAATTCCGACTTAAAGGTCTTTGATTCCCAATATCATTATTATTATTGACAGTTCTCTATTTATGGTATTGTTGTAGTGTCCTAAACTTTTACTTATTGGCCAATTACCTGAAACATCTTTTGCTTCAAATGTCGATGAGTATAGTTATAGTAATTTGGTACCTTGTATGGAAGAAAAAAACACTATTTTGTTTACATTCGCTACTTTCTATAGGTCAATGAAGATAGAAAATTTGTATACGTTTCTGGGGCATAATGTTCCTTTCAAGAGTTTATATAACTTATAAAAATGAATAAAACTATCAGATATATTATATACTGGACAGACTTTAGCTGCGAAATGACTTACTTTGAACGGCTGATGAGACAGCTGCTATGGTTGCTGGGTTGACCTCGACCTTCAGGGATTTCATGAGTTCAATAAAATCAGTTTCTTGTGGCTGAGGCTTTAGTAAGGCTTTACTTGGGAGCGGAGCCTTTGACATATCTACACACAAGTATAACATTGTCAGAGAAAAACAAGTGGTTGTATAATAGTCATAAAAGATGAGTATATTTTGTCATAAGACGTCAGTTTAAATATTTGTCATATTTTAAAAAGAACAAAATTTAAGTGTCAATAGCGAAATGAAATGATTTAATATCAGGATCTTACATTCTCCTACAATATTCTATAATAGAAACACTGATAATGTGGATTGGCTTTCCGTTGCATTATAGAACAAAATGGCGCGAAACCAAAGACCAATGACCGCAAAGGATAACTATACTATTTAGCAAATTTTAGTTGCAAACTTTTGATAGTCTCAGATTAGCGGGAAACGGTTAACTTTTTCTTATAAGGAAAGAAAATGGTACATAACAATGTTCGATATTGGCAATAATCACAAAAATAGCAAATCTACTTACTGTACAGTGTCGCATTGCCATTTACATTTCGCTTACTGCAATAAAAAAATATATCATTTTTCTCTAGTTTGTTCACAGCAAACAACAATGTTAAGAGATTTTCTTGCATAAATTTAAATTGTGAAATTTTCAGAAGGAATTCTGCGGTCCGACAAAAGTAAAGTAGCCGTTTAAGCGGACACAGTTAAATATTGTTTTTTTATTAATTGGTCCTCAGAAATTCAGTGGTGTATAATTGCAAAGAGGGTTTATTTACAAAAGGACAACAAGGTGATTTACACGCCAAATTTCTAAGCTCTAAGCGCTGTACTTTCAGACATTTCGACTTTTAAAACATTTCTTCTATACAAGTCTATATACATTAAGTGACCCTCAGGGTATGACCATTTTGTCCCAAGGAGCATGACTTATGTATTTTTGTAGATGTCCTTTAGACCATGCTACATGTCAAATATCTAAGTTTATGGCATTGAAGTTTCACAAAGTAATACTGAAAATTATTTTCCTAAGTCTAAGCCCATATAAACGAAGTGACCCACTTGGGAAGGGGGCTAATTTTGACTCCTGGTATCTTAAGTGACTTTTGCCAATAAAAGGGTATATAGCGAGTGAAAAGGTGCTAAAAGTCAAAATCGGTTTACATTTTGTCATTATTCCTTTCAACGTTCAAAAACTCAAGTGGCCCAAGGACATTTCTTTAAATATCCATTGGAATTTACTTGTAATGTTTAAGTTATAAAAAGAGTGGGACAGTCTTTTTATGTTTTAGGCAGGTTACATATTTTATCCTAGACATTTTCCACTATCAACTGTTGGTCAATCACCATTATAACAGTCAATCTTTTGAAATATATAATCAATTAATCTCAACTTGACAATGGCAAAATTAGCATAATGTCACTTTACGGACGGCTAGGTGTTGCTACATAAAATATCTAAGCTCTGGGCATTGTCATTTCAGAAAAGAAGATTTATGAGATATTTTACTACACAAGTCTTTGTCAACTATGTGAACCCAGTGCTGGCCATTTGTAACCTCTAAGACATGGCTTATATACCTTTTTCAGAGGACCACAAGGTAATGTTGCATGCCAAATATCTATTTTCTAAGCTTTGTATTTTCATATATAAGTCTCTGTAAAATAAGTGAGACGTGGGGCAAATTTTGACCCAAGGAACATGATTCATATAACTTCCGTAGAAAATTGCAAGGTGGTGCTATATGCAAAGTATTTAAGCTCTTGGTAATGTAGTCTCTGAGAAGAAGATTTTTAAAGATTTCCTTTTTAATGTCTATTTTAAATTCCTGGATCTATTTATATAGCTTTTGTACAAGGTCACCTAATGCTCATTCCTTTGAAGTTGTGGTTAAGGAAGTGATGGGTTTTTTTTAAAAGAAATTAAGTATAACGACGGAACACGACACACTGCCATCACAAAAGCTCACCTTTTGAGTACTTTGTGCTCAGGTTAGCGTACAGTTAATTTGTTTTTTGCACATTATACTCCTAAAACAGTACGATTATTTCGCCCGTAAAACTCTATTCTTACTATCTTGTTGTATAATATGTATACATGTAAGAAATAATTCACAGCACTTCGGACTCCATAGCATTAAAGTGACCTTCCCGTCAGTCTAAGACATTGAACGGTGTCAATATAATGCAACGAGGCTTTCAGCGTTGTGTGTTGTCTCTTAATTACTTTGAAAAGAAGTAATCACCCGCAACGATCAGTCGTTCTTCTATATAAGATAGCTAAGATAAATGAGCCGCGTTATGACAAAACCAACATAGTGTGTTTGCGACCAGCATGGATCCAGACCAGCCTGCGCATCCGCGTAGTCTGATCAGGATCCATGTTGTTCGCTTACAAACTCTATTACAAGTAGAGAAACTGATAGCGAACAGCATGGATCATGACAGGCTGGTCTGGATCCATGCTGGTCGCAAACCCATTATGTTGGTTTTGTCATGGCGCGGCTCAAATACAAGTACATGTACATGACATGTAATTAATGTTATAAAACATGAAAGAAAAACATTATAGACTGTTGAAATTGAAGGGTTTAAAAGATGAGGTTCAATTATTAGGTTAAAGAAGTTAACAATACACAATATAAAACTGATCATAAGCAGTTTAGAGGTATAAGTGGCAGATACCTTGTAGCAACTGGTTTAAGCACATTTCCTGGAGGATCAGATTTTAGTTGTACTGGGGAATCTTGCCCATTGTGCTTTTTACTGAAGGAATCAATTCTGTAAAAAAGGGACCTTATATTTCTTTATATTATGAATCTTTATCAACATATTAACAAGTACAATAATATGAGGTTATTTTACATTATTGAGTACAATACTGAATTATATTAGACAAGTTCACAGCTGACATGCCTTTATTAAACTCGGCGCAAACCAAATCTGATACGGTTTTGCAGAAAGGATTTGATATGAACTTTTGGATCCTGAAAATGAAAACGAGACTAGATGGGTACGATATAGGTTTAATATGGATTGTTGGACACGTAGCTAATTTGATAAGATTGGATCCAATAGTGATTCTGTTTAAACATCACGTGGTCCAATCGGTTCATCAGTTATATTTTATAAGGTGTGAAAATTGTGTCGCAGCCTCGCAGGACTAAATATTCTGGTGGTACAGAAACAAAATTTGGGCATAGGTTCGATGTTTTAATATAATCCAAATATAAATGGTCTACAACTATAATAAAATAATTAATCTTACAAATACAATACATATAAAACAAAAACAATGAAATAACAATATATACACAATCGAAGCGTAATAAGAAAATACAAAAATACATAAATAAGATATACAATCAATATCCTAATATTTATGATTTTATTATTTACCACAGCGTCTCTTATAGAAATTATTTCAATATAAATTGAAATAAAGTAAATATAGATCTAATGTTATATATATATTAACTACTTTTATTATATGTCTGACTCGTAAGAGATGAATGTAAAGAGTCTGCGGTACATGAAAAACAAACAGTGCGCAGAAGTTAAGAAATATTTAAAAGAACCAATGAATATCTTTCTCACATAGAAACATATACAACAAACAAAACAATTGGACAAGTACAACACAGAACGAGTGACCAGTGTTCACGCTATTGCACGGGTACATCATTGTCGAGTTTCACCGGTTCAATACCGGAAGTTAAACATATACGGTAAAAACTAAACGCAACCGAATAAAAACGCGCGTGCACGATGTTCCCGCTTAAATAAAACTATGGAAAGTCACAGCTGCCATTTACATGTAATTTCAATATGTGACAATTGCAAATCATGTTTTACTATTGAATGTGAATAACAGAATAAAAAAATACAGGTGCGTGTAAATCAAATTCAAACATTTAAATGTCATAGCGACAATCATTGTTCATTGCATCATCGCAATTCAATGAGGGAAATTAAAGATGCTCATATAAGAATAAAAGATATGATATGTACTATACCTAAAATAGAAACAAATATATATGTTGACATACTGATAGTCAGCTGTATATTGGCACATTGATAGAGGCATTTAATAGAAATTCAATTAGTATACAATTACAGAACATTAAAAAAGTCGAGTGTAAAAAGTAAAAACATGGAAACAGTACCCTCTCTTATCTGTGCGCTTCTTGTGTTTACCACGGTCAATATTTATGTTAGGGTCAGTGTCATCGTCAGAGTTGTCCGGAGATTGACGACCTTGTCGACGTGATTCTGAAATATTGTAATAAAACTCATTTATTTACAGAAGATTGTCTTTTGTCTATGGACTGCAAAATGATATAAAAAAGTCTGAACATTTTGGGGCAAGGAAAAAATAGTTCGTTTATGGGGGTCTGGCTTAAAAGTATTCTTGGAAGACCTATATACTAAGTTATTTTAATTGCATGATAAGTGAGGAAAGCACGTGGTTTGTCGTGATTATTAATAATATACAAGTTTCAGTAACTTAATACAAATTAACTTCTGATTGTACTATAGTTACGCTGGCACATAGGTGTGTTTTATTCCCGTTCGCACAAGAAACTATGTCGTAGCAACGAGTTACTAAGTTGTGGCCACGAGATAGTTAAGTTGTGTCTCGTGCGCACGAGATAAATAAAAACAAACAAACACATGTCACATATGTGCCACCGTATTTAGTTTTGTGTATTGCATTTGTCTTTTCTTATATGTTACACAATGCTCTTAAAAATACTAAAGACAACAGGTGTTAGTATCTCATTTTATGTATTATGTAATTCACATTCTTTAAATTTCAACAGTTCTTAATCAATACCAGGACATATCCATTTATAGTTATTTAAAAGTTTTTCCTCGTGGGTGGAAAAGTTGTAACGAACTTCAGTTTAAAGTAGTTATTGTCTTTACAATTTATTTAGTTTTCATGTCCGTGCTTATGCATGAAATGTGTGCGGAAATTATGTGTATGTTTTAACTTCCGTTTCTTGTATCAGTTTATTCCTGATTGCTTTATTGAACCCATTAGTATTTTTGAATTTTTCTTAATTTAAACGGTCCATATACGGTCCATATACGGTCCATAACTAAAGAAAATGTATGATCACGCACACAGTGAATACGTTTACCTATATTTTGTCTATAACTGTTTAGATATTGAGACATATACAAAGTTCACTAATTTAAACATATATCACTTACTTGTTTTATGTTTGGTGCCCACATTTTGTTGTGAAACTACGCCTGTATCCCCGCCACATACGCATCTTTTACCAGACGTCAATTTTCTATTTATAAAATCGATCGAATCTTGCATCTTCTCGAACTCTGCGTACATATTTTCACGGAATTGTCCCATATCTGCGGTAAGCTTGTTCAAGACTTCTTTCTGAGTACTTTGTTCTTTAATCATTAGGACGAGACATTGGAGTATTCTTTTGTCGAGCGGGGCGTTATTATCGTGTTCCGACGCCATTCTCATTTAGTTATAAAACGATCTGGAAAAAAATAAATTTTTGAAACACATTTTGTCACCTCTTCATTTAATAAAAAAAAAATTAATTATTCTTTAATGTGCTAGTTATAGATTTCCTGAAAATGCGTATAATACCTTTAATGGGAATAAGTTTCCTTGTTAAATTCAACCTACCCTCCGAATAATAGTAATCTAATTGCGCCGGTTGGAGCCCGAATTCACCACGCCCATATAGATAAATTTAATTTCCATCTTAAATAACATTGACTAAAAGAACCAGAAAATTGCAACAGCCTATTAATCAACTGTTTCAGTATACATTGTGTGACAATTGTTCCGTAAAGAATCATTCGGAATACAATGCCAATTACCTATAATCACCTCGGAAACAGTAGGTCTATCTCTGGTTAAATACAAAACTAAGCAGGATCTTTGTAGATAAAGCATCAAATATACTAATATAATATCAACGATTGAAAAGGGTAATATCTAGAAGCGAGCAGCCGAGCACACTAGGCATAAGAAGTTTATATTTTTAAAGATATAATATGCTCATCTTTGGGTAAAATACTTTTATTGCATCTATGAAATTCTTACTGAATATGTCTAATTTGAATAAGGGAATGGATAAACTATGTTTTTGAAAATGCATTCCATATGTGATAAAGTGTAAAGTCATTTTTAATGACGACTATGTTTACCTATAGTTTGTATCTGTGTGTACTCAAAATATATTTATTTCACATATAAAAACTAGATAATATAACAATTACAAGTGTTTACAAATATCAAATTTGAGCAAAATATATATAACGTAGTAACTCGTGGAACTCGTGGCCACGACATAGTATCTCGTGCGCACTTCTTTATTATTTCGTGCGCACGACTTAGTAACTCGACATGATATAGTATCTTGAGCGTACCTTTGTGCCACCGTAAACTTATCATGTATAGTTTCATTTTATGTAGATCTTAAACATTTATAATATATAAAATAGCGAAATTATATACGTTTACCATTTCTGAAAAAAAAAAAGATAAAAAAGATGTTAATTAAAAAATTGATCCAGATCTGCTGAGACAGGATGTCCTTTTAAACTTCGATAATTGCAGTTTGTTTCAGCGTGTTGCAGTTGGTTGTTGCTGATGTTGTTAGTTAACATGTTGTTATCTTTTCAATGAGTTTGGCATAAACAAAACATCAGAATTAAACAGAAAAATTAATTATAATTATGTCACCTTTACCGTTATTTCTTTAAAAATAGTATATAATGTGAACTTGCATGATATCTGATATATTTGGAGCATAGGTTGTTCAAGTAAAGAAAAAGGCGAGTTCAATCAAACATTTCAGAATCGACATCAAAACTAACTCCTCTCTTTCAAAAAGTCCCAGTTACCATAAAAAGTATTGTTGTAAATATATACATTTCTATTTTTAAAAATAATAATTTTACTTCCGGTTTCGGAATAATATCGTTTGGGTTTACAAAACCAAATATTTGTTAACAAAATCAATTTCCATTGAAGTTAAAAATAAACATCACTAACATTCTTCGGTTTCATCATAAAAAGATAATTTACCACGATTATTCAATTAAGGTTTTACAGACAAATCCATAGCCATTCTCATTTTGAAATGGAAAGTACACAAATAAAGTAATCAATTAACAAAATGACAAAAAAAATAATATTAATAATTATTATAATAAAATAGATAAATAAAATAACCTCTACTAACTCAGTTTAGTGAATTTACCACACATCGCACATTCAAAGGAGGAAGCTATTTATAGAGCAACCGACATTTAACAAAACCGAAAGTAAATTATCAAACTAAAATTTATTATTTCCCGAATACGTCGTATCAACGGTACTTAATAATAGGAAAATAAATCGAATATGTCGGTCATGATAAATACCAAAAAGAAAAGAAATCCAGACATTGATAGTTTTTTCATTTGAAATCGAAAGTAGACTTCCAAATTTTATATTTAACAAATATTTAAATGATTCTGATACCTTTTTTTCTCCCTTTATGCGTTAGTTAAATTTTATGATTCAAAATACACGCATTTTTAATGATCATCCAAAGAAGTCCAGATGATTTTATAACTAAAACGCACACGTATATATATCCCACCTTTGGTAAAACCCACAATTTAACCATCTAGAACTTCTACACAGTTGTGGAGGATGTACGTTATTTTCAAAGAATTATCGGAACATACTCGTATAATTGTGAATGTCGTGAAATAAGATATGTTTCGCTTTGAAGACCTAGTGTGGCAAATTGACATATAGCAAATGAATGGGAATGACCTGAAAACATATAGGTTGGTTGAAAAAAAAGTGAAATGGCTTAATAACGCAAGATAATAAACAAGGCATAAACAACGAAAAACAAAACGCATGAATCTCATTACGTGAAACAACACAGAACATAAGACGTTATACAATGCTGCACATCAAAGACGCCGTTGGGGTTAAAACAATTACCAAAATCAACCTAGTTTACAGTCCCCGACTGGCCGAGGCATAATTAAATGTTTGTACACTAGATTTAAAATTTTCAATTCAACACCTTTTTATAATTTTTAAAATGCAAGTTAACAATTATCTGTGTTTGTTGTAAAACATGTTCTATATATCGTCTATAAAATGACTCCTAAATTTAAGGAGGCATCACTCAATTGAAAATGCATTAGGGTAATAAACGCATTACGCTGATTTTACCCTAATTGCCTAAACCGCAAGTTTTTGGCCCTTTCTGTTGATATTGATAATAGCCGAGGATATTTCACTCGTTAATTTCTTGCTTCAGAATATAGACTGGCTCATTGGCACGTTATTTTATTGGTAAAAAATAAAAAAGATAAAAAAATGTTATATTTAAACATGGAAGTATCACTTTTGTTAAACGTTTTTTTCATTCATGACACTCGTGGACATGTTTATAATCAGAAAAGGTAACTATTTTTATCTGAAAATCTGAAAACTGTGTAATTTTGTTAGAACAAAAAAATTAAACAAAAACAAGACTAACCTTTCCCCATTGCTGACTGATCGAACGCATATCTATCAGACGCCGCGTGCACGCGGCGTCTAAAGTGAATAAAGTAGAGAGCAAAATTATTTTTTTTGTTGGTTTGTCTGTTTGTCTGTCTGTTTGTTTGTTTGTTGATTTGTTGATTTGTTTGTTTGTTTGTTTGTTTGTTTGTTTGTCAAGGCCACCATGATCTCAAATAACCAAAATTAACCTTGACAGTTGTATACAAAAAATGTGCTTGCATCCAAAGCATTTTGGCAAAAAAAGTAGAGGTGAAAAGAAAAAGGTTGCAGAATTGTGCTTTTTGTAATTTTGTTTTTGCCCTTGAAAACTTTGGACGGAACATTATTCAAACCAATTTCCATACAACCATACAGTCTCAATCACCTTCGTTGATTCATAGGCGAGATGATGCCACAGATTTTGATTGATTATCACGTAACTAGACAAAATAAGTTAAAAACTTACAATTCTGCATTTTTTTTTATCCATCCGCTATTTACACGAAACCAGATTTTTGATAATTATCAAATTTCAATACAAACTACACCATTGTGTAGTCAATACATTTCTGCAAATTCTGAATACAGGTTTTAACAAGTTTGCCCATGGAAATATACAGAATTTTTAAGTTACCAAGTTTAACCCCTTTTTATATATATTTTTTAATTATCTTTTGCATTTGAGTGTATCTACCTTTGCTGTTGATAATATTGCATTCATAAACTTATACTTTTGAAAGTGTTGATATATTTACAAAATCCGCTGCTTTTTTTCTTCATAATGGTAGCAAATAAGAAAGTATATTGACGCAACTATACCTGTATGTAAATTGAATGCGATACCATCTTGTTAACATTACAGTGTACTTGTCTCGCAACAGTGGGTATCTTTCTAAAAATAGAATTCACCGTAACCGGATTGAAATTTTTTTTTAATACCTGGGAATATGTGTTTTTGTTTTGTTATTTTCAACGTGTTTTTTTTACTTCCACGTTAGAAATGTTTCTTTCTTTTTATGATTTATAAGTTTATTCTAGCGTAATACTAATATCCAATATCTAGCTTAATAAGATCGCAGATATACCTAGGGTATCACGGATTTTGGAAACGCAGAAAAAATACTTAACGTGGTTTATTTCCACCGGAAAATTTGCGAGCCCAATGACAATAAAAACGGATTTTTTCAACGTGTGTGATTGCGTAATATGAAAATATTTTCAATAATAGGAAAAGCCTTAGATATGAGCCCATATATAGTACATGTATATACGACACCTGGGATGCCCTTTGATTATATTCCGTCAGGATATTGTTTGTTGCTGTGTAGAGGCCGTAAAAAATCGCCAAGTACTTTCGGTCAAAGCACGGATATAGTTTAGTTTATTAGTTTATTTAGGTCTCATCCATTACATGTACATATAATACAAATATACATTCAATAAAACTTAAAATACATGTAAATGGTCATTCTTATAAAGAATTATAGGAGACTATATGTATATGTTGTTACAAGTATCATAAAATACAATCCACATTTAAAAGGTTAGATCAGATTAAACCTTACACAGATAGGTATTTTACAAAGTCATATATGAGCATTCCAGTAAGATCAAATAAAATACATATCTGAGTAGTTGTTTGACTGATAGTATTACTTAACTATTAGATAAGAACTTTAATTTGTTACAATACTTTAAAACAGCTAAGATGTTTAATTCTTAACACTTTAAAATATCTTTAAAAAACAACTTAGATCTTAAATTCTTTAAAAAAACAAGTCATATCACTAAAAGGCTTTTTTTTAGAGACAATTAATTTTCATTAATAAAAAAGTCTTAAAACCATATAAAACTATATATATAAAAAGACCTAATCATAATACAAGCATACAAGATGTAATATAAATCTTTGGTCAAAGATGTTTATAATTTGATCCTTGAAGATCGTTCAGCACGACATTATTGTTTGTGATATTTTTAGTTCCTTTTATTTGTTTTTCTACGTGGGTGGTTCCATTATTCGTGCTCTAATACTGTTTAATCACCCTTATGTTACATGTTTTGCTTTTTAAATTTGTCTTTTGGCGTCTTATCTGTGATTTATAACCACACATTTCCTTTCAAACTGTCATTTTATTTAGTTCCGTCCGTTGTATTCTCGTTTAGGGATACGCCGCTTTTCATGGAATGACACCTACGCGCCACAGTGAAGGTTCCAAGATAACCGCCATATACACACACACAAAAGTTTGTCATTTTCATGTATAAATGTTGAATTCTGTTTAAGCCGGTAACACGTGGCATGGACAGTGCAATTAGCAGTACCATCCATAAACAGGTACAATTAAACAGAGTCCGAAACATTTTCAATTTTGCTGTTTTCCCCCTATTTTTTAAGATTACACTATATTTTTGTATAAGTTCTATGGAAATGCACAACTCTATTAGTTTCACATAAACCAGCGTCTTTCATATAAATATAATTACAAGATTGTTATTTTGAATTCCAATAATTTTCTTTCTTAGAACAAATATTTTGAACCGGACTTATTTAATTATAATTAAAAGTAAAACATTATTACATGTATTAGTATTTTATTACATCAACTGTTAAATTAAGTATAAAAACAACTTGTATGTTTATCTTCTATGGCAATCAAATAAACTAGACTAGTTTATACAAGTCTGGTAGGTCTATAAATAAGAACTGTCCTCAATAAACGAGCGATCCTCATTATACACAAGTTGGGAAAATAATGTCAAACTTACAGGCATTTATTTAATTCTTTTTTGTTTGAGAACTATATATTCTCGAAATAAAAAGACAAATAATAAGTCTTATATGATTTTATTTGAACAAATATATTGTACAAATAATAACATGGAATATAATTATCACAAATTACTGCAATGCCAGTAACTATACAGTTCCAGAACATTACCTACATCACATCATGTTTAGTTACATAGATGGTCAAAAAATATCACAAAACATTGTCAGCACAAAGTTAAAGAAACAGGTAAGATATCTAGTAAAAACGTTCAGCAGTATCATAGTGTTTTCAGCAGTGATGGATATTAAAACAGTATTCAGCTTGTCTCCATAGCAGGTTACACCCCCATATATATATATAAAGTGTCTCTTAATTAAACTACGTATCAGTGATTTCTTTATTGTTTCCATATCTGAACAAGAGGTACTAAGCATATCATTATTTTATGAAAAATAAAGTTTTGAATTTCTTTACAAAAAGTATCAATTTGATTACTTTTATGTTCTTACAGTTCATTATATTACAATGAACAATTTAACTAACATATATCTGATAACAAAAATGAATGCCTAACAGTGGTAAATATAAAAACCATGGTGATAAAATCAACTAAAATTCAAAAAGTTTTACACACACATACAAATGAATGCCCGATTCTTAAAATCAAAATATATAAGGCAGATAATCAAACATCTGTTCTGTGTATATTGTATATTATTTCTAACTGTTTTATTTCATGGTAATACATCACAATCATTTATTTCTAATCAATTTAGGACAGGTATAGTGAGGAAATTGCTAGCACAACCATTCACATCACATAAAAAGATAAAACTCTTCTTTTTTAATGAAAAATTCCTATACAACCACCCTCTCCTCAGAAATTGTGTCTCTTTTTGCATTCATATCAGAACACTTAAGTCTTGTTACATATGTATCAAGTCATTTTTTTTCACACATAAATCAGGCGCAGTTTTGTTAGGCCACTTTTTGTACAGGTAAAGATAATGGTATAGGTTCAAGTTGGGCAGATTTTAGCGGAATGTTTTTCATCAAAGCTTCATATTGTAGAGCGTTCTGTTTACGTTCCTCTTGTAACCAGTGTAACATTTCTATCCTGTCCCATTTCATCTTGTCCTGATATGGTCGACCCTGAAAAATGTTACACAATAAATGAATGACTATATATCTCAAAAAGGCTGTTGGTTTAAATATATTTATTAAGCTTGATTGTGAAACAAGGTCATGCAACTTATATAAATCACTTTGAGGAACCAACCAGTCATGGTGTCATGTGAAGAAACATGGTTGTGACCCAAGTAGGGCTCAAACCCATGATATTTGGATTGAGAGGCAGATACCTTAACCACTAGGCAAGATTGTTAACTATAACATTAAAACTGCACAAACGTTGACAATGAAAGACCGAGCTTGAGTAAATTGCAAGAGTAGGATTTACTGAAAGATAACAATATATCTGGATAAAAACTTGTGTTGTGCAGGTGTAGTAAGTTAATCAAGTACATTTATTACAAACTTTGATGATCTGTAACTTACTTTATATGTTATGACATCTTTGAATTGTTTCTTAATGAGCTGTAACTCCTCCTTGATTTCTATGTCTGCTGCTTCAATTCTCTGTAACATTAACGTGTTATATGTTAGTTCATTCATATTTTATTAATGTGTCACATGTCCTATAAAATAGTGATTAGGTTATACATGAAATAACATTGGGATACATCCACCAAATAGGTTTATAACACTTATACCCTATTCTTATGATAAATCTGTATACCAAATTTCATTTCAGTATGTGCAACCTCTGCAAAGAAAATGAAAGGAAACTGTTGATCGACTGACCGAAGAAAGGGGGCATAAAAATAAAGCTTATACATGGTGTTAAAATGACTAATTTGTGTCAGCAGTAAAGAATGGTAAAGAATAAGTGTAGTCTGCACACATGTGTGCAGCCTGGAGTGGATTTATACAGGTTGTATTGGCCTGTCTTACTGTTACTAGCACTTAAACAATAAATGTTAACAACTGTTTCTTAATGCTGGCAGGGATGATGTTATATTATCAATCTCCCCATTTCAAGGGTAAGTATTAGACAAAGTAAACTAAAAGTTTTTTATGTAAATTTTTATCTCACAACATTTAATGGCTATACAGATAAGAATGTATTAAGTAGTAAGATAGCTTCAAAGTCATAGAAACGGTATTGTGTCCACCATTAAGCCTTGGAAACAATGAACAGTGTTATGTAACTTTATGATGATTTGTTTTTGTGAATCTATCAGGTAGTTTACCTTGTAATAGTAGCTTCTTTGTTGGGCTTCCTTCAAACGCTGAACTGAACTTCTTTTCTGACCTGTCAAAATAAAACTTGCAAAAGTAGTAATAGTTAAAGATAAAAGAAGAATAATCTTCAATTAAGAAGAAGAAATCTGTTCTAAAATGGTACTTATTCATTTATTTAATTGGCTTATATGGCTAAACCATCTTTTGCTTTTTGACCAGTTCCTACTTGTACTATTATAGTGTAATTTAGTATTTTGTATGGAACACCTTATATCTTTTTGTTGTGCTACTTTTATGGACAAACAATTTCACATTCAATGCTTTATAAAGTATATCTTCTAGAATTAAGATTATTTTATAGTATAAAGAAAGATGTATAACTCTTTAATTAAATGACAGATGCTTTTCTAATCATTCAACTGTGACAATAATTTTAAAATAAAAGAAATATAAAAATCATGTGAATAAATTCATAGCCATGTGGAAAAAAAACTGACATAGTAAAGAATATTGTAAGTCCAAATTCTCATTACCTTTTTCAAAGAATCTGTTAGGATCTGAGGCCATTCTTTCAAATTTTTCTAGTTTTACTAGCAATGCTTCCCTCTTTAATACAAGATCAGTCACCTTCTCCCACTGTTCTATGGCCTGATAATGTAACATATACAATATTAGTAACATTAAATATTAGTTAAGATGAGATATAATTAACAAATAATATCAGTTTCAGTGGTGTTTATTGGCTATTACACACTGGTTTGTAGTTTTGATGTGTAGGAATCTACCACGAAGGAGTGCTGGAATAAGAAATTATGTCAATCATGTTGTGAAATTATATCCCAGAATGCAACAGATATTGAAAACAACTGACAAAAGACTATAAGTAAATTCTATAAGATTAATGGGTATAATTAATTAATTATACTTTTAAACAATAAATAAATAAGAATGTGAAAATAAAGGTAGAAAAATTATACCCAAGTAATCAATAAAAGCAGGACTTATGGCTTAACTAGTCTTAATATGTTTTTTTTCTTTATTGTAATTTTCAAAACATATGTATGAAATATACAGATAATATACAAATATATTTGTAGTAATGTTCCATAACCTACAAAACTTCTTAAATGGATTTTTACAGATTAAATTTTCAGAACTGTCTATTATCAATTATGATGATAGCAATATGAGCTAGACAAACAGTAGAGAGCCTGGTCAGACTTCACGAACATACAGGCTGGACAGGGTCTATACTGGTGGCACAGGCTAATCAGTTTTTGGTTAAGACAAGGTAATAATAAATTACTAGTATATAATACAATATTTACCTCTGCAAGTTTAGTATAGAATTCATTACAGCTATATTTGATGGCCATGTCAAGTTTTAGACTATCTGGCATCTCTAAGGCCGTCCACACTTTCTCCAGACGATCTTGCGGTGTCAATGGGGCCTCCCCACCATCACTCTGAAGTATATAAATAAAAAGTGAACACCATTTTTTTAACCATCAAGAGTAACAACTTTTCAACACATGCAGGATCTTACAAGAGTTTTCATTCTATATTAACTCATAATAAACAAGTCAAGAAAATAGTATAAAGTCAACTTTAGCTTACAAATTTATCCTCTTTGGAATGAGAACAAATGTACATTTTTTTTAATTGTATGATACCATAAAAGCAGAAACTATATCAAAGATTCAAATGGCTAAAACACTGTTTAATTTGCCATTTTCATATTGCATTAAAACAGTGACCTCTACTTTTGACAAATTAACCTTATAAAATAGTAATGATCAACAAATCTTAAGAATGTATGCTAAAATGTAATCTAGTTATTGTTTTAATCTATGGTCATACAAACAGATAACAAGAAAAGCAAAATCAAAAGTGTTTTGATGTCAGAATGCTATAATCAGGCAGTTAAGAGGAAATAATCTGATGTGACTTTAAGGATATACAGACAGTGGTCTGATCATAGGACATCAAGCGTCCACGGAACAATAAGATAACTGAAGAAGAACATAAGGAACATACCACAGAAGATCTATCTGTCTCAAGTTTACTTGTTACTGTCAATGTTGTAACTTTAGATGCTCTAGACTGTGTTACGTCCCTGAAATTAATAGATTAACATATAACATGAAAAAAAAACAACCAAAAAAAAACAAAACACAATAGCATGCTTAAACAAAGGCACATCCTCTGATTGAGGCAATACATATTCAATCTTTTTAATTTTAAAGATAACCTTACAATTATTATTTTAATCTTACTGTCATATGACTTTATAATGTCACAAATTACAAAATAGTTACAACTGTTATCTTAAAGTTTTACATTCACAAATTCAATAGATCCAAAAATTATCAAAATACTACCAACACAACCTGACTTCTCACAGGATATTATATACTTAAACCCAGTATTATTGATACATCTCTATTATTAACATATTCCGAAAATATCCACGAGAATAGTACATTACTGATAATATGTGTGAATACTAAATTAAACAGTTAACAGATGTTATCCGGAAGTCAGCAAATGTGGGTTTTTCCAAGATAATCCCCCGATACAAACCAACTTTTATTGTTATAGCTTCATGGTGCACTACCCATTACAATAGATAAGTCAAATTGTTGTGCTTATTTTCGAAGCTTTAACTGTTAATATTTGTAGCCCCAGATTAGCTGGGAAAATCCCAAAATATTCTTTATTCCAGAGAAAGTCTATTCATAAGCCATCTGTGTTTCATATTGACTTGGCACTATGTAATATGAAACAGTTTCTTTCCTGGTGGAAAATCCTTTATTAATTGTTCACTTTTTAAAATATGACAGAAATTGTTTACTCACTGTCGAGACTTTTTAGCCGAGTGTCTAGCAGCAGCTCTCTCTTGAAGTGTTTTAGCCGAGCGTTGAGTGTCCGCTGATTTGGGAGCTTTCGATGCTGATTCATCTACCTCTTCTATAAACACAGGAACATATTTTATGTTTGGTAACAGTAGAAGCTATTTGTTTATGCTGAGAAGAATGTCTAATATTGTATTGAGCAAAGTGCATATAGCTAAAATTTACTTGGTAATGGTTATATTTATCATTACACCATCTGTTCATTCTTTTAGTTATGGAACTTGAATTGATGTTTTACACTGTTAGAACTCATTCAGTCTAGAGTGGTGTGGAACACGAAAACCCAGTGTTAAACCTCTTATTTTGGATATTGAATATCAGTAAATTCCAGAAATTATATCCTGTCATACTGAGATAGTAGGAAAAAGATATTCTCCAGTCCAAGTGGGAAGTCATTGTGAAGTTTTCTCCCTTTTTTTGCATTATGGCAGAGATAAACAACATATTGTAGTCTTACATACCTTCTATGACAGGATCTTTCCCAAGTCCACCTAATAATACACTGTTTACATTCCAGAATCCTTCCTGAAACTCAGCTTTCTGTTCTTGTAATGCTTTTATTTTCTTCTCCTTCTCCCTGTAAACAAACATTGTACATGCTGTACTGTATACATACACGGTAAACATTTTACTGTAAACACTGTAAATGCTGTACTGTATACACACATGGTAAACATTTTACTGTAAACACTGTAAATGCTGTACTGTTAACACATATGGTAAACATTTGACTGTTAACATTGTAAATGCTGTACTGCATACACACTTATAATGGTAAACCATTGTAAATCATAAATGCTGTACTGTTAACACATATGTTAAACATTTTACTGTTGAAATTGTAAATGCTGTACTGTAAACACACAGGGTAAACATTTTACTGTAAGAATTGTAAATGCTGTACTGTAAACACACATTGTAAATGCTGTACTTAAAATACAAATGGTAAACATTTTACTGTAAACATTGTAAATGCTGTACTGTAAACACATATGGTAAACATTTTACTGTAAACAACACTGTCAATATTGTATTGTAAAAAAACAACACTGAAAATGAAACAAAGTGAATGTTATGCTATAAAAAAACCTTGTAAACATGTGTCTGTAAACAAGTATAGTAACCATTACTTTATAAACAAAATAACAGTAGCTGATGGTGTAACTGATGGTCCATAAACAAAACATAGGAAGCATAATAAATTATCTTTCATTGATTTTCAATAAGTTATAATTTTGTAAATTACCATAGCACAATCCATAATTTCGGTTACCATAGAATTTCAGATATTTTTCAAAAAATGCAAAATATAAAAATGATACAGAAAATATAAATGTATATACTTTTCCAGAGTCTGTTTACTGGAGTGAGTTGTTCTGGACTGTGAGCGTTTCTGTGACAGCATGCCCGTGGTACGGAGGGCGGACGGGAACGGGTAGTGGGTTTGAGACGGTCCCTCATCCTCACCCTCATCTTCTTCTCCAGAGTCGTAAAAATGAAACACTGCTGCCATATAATCTGTCTCCTGTTACCATGGAAACAAAAACTGTCTAAGCTTAAAATCACCTTTTCACAGAAGGATTCAATTACTATAACTTGGACTTTTTTTGTTGTTGAATAAATATGAATTTTAAAAGGAAACAATACCTACTTGAATTTGAAACATTCTCCTATAAGAGATTTTATTACTTAATTGTTTTAGATTTTATATAACTTGTTATAGTGTTACTAAGTGGGCATGAAAGTGTTCAGTTTCATTGCTATTACATGGTAGAAAATATAAATGTGGTACTTATGTGACAAGATAACATTTCTAATAAAACAAGTTCTGAATACAAATAACATTCACTCAATATTTCAAAGAAATCAAATCTATTTTTCTTTTTAAACAAAAAAAATTTTAATTTCTTTACTTTAAAAGCACGAAAATATCCTTTTGTCACAATTTCTTTGATTAAAATATTCATTTATTTTAAACATCTTCCATCATTTAAAATATCAACTTTAGTTTTACCTGGGTGGACAGATATTTCATGTAGTCATCACTGGTTATAGTAGATTTCCACCATAGCAACCACGAGGCGTAAGTTCTTGCCATCTTGTCTTGTACAAATGATGGTATATCATCCTTCGTCAACAACTGGGACATTTTGGTCGGGTTACGTATAACTTCATGCACTTTGTCCATGTTTGGTGTCTACAAAAATTATTTCAATAATATCATTTCACAGAAGACAGAAGAATAATAAAGAGATAAAATTTGTATGTTAAAATGGTTTCAAAACTAAAATCTCTCGTTAAAAGTGATAATAAATAAATATTGTGAAAGTGATGATTAATTTCTCAGTGAAATAAACTGAATGAATTTCATCTTATCTATCTTAAAATGGAATAATATTTTGTGAATATCAAACTACAATGTATATCGAATCATAAACTTAAATCTTAACTTAAAAAACTTGTAAACTTGTATCTGACTACTTCACATAAATGATAAAATATAATAACTTTAATTGATCCCGTATACAATTTATGTATTCAATTAAAATAAGGACTGATAAATGAGATAATAAATATATTTATATGAATATTAACAATCACTTCATGTTATATGCCAGGCAAACTGATTAACATTACGGGCTTACAACAAAAGTAATGCTATTTGTGTAAGAATGAAATTCCTGATAAATGCTGGTTGTGTTGAAAGTATCAACAGAACAGTCAGATCCTGCAGTCTATTTCAGATCTGTTACAATGATAGTCTATAAAATATAACATTACTCTTATTGTCACAGCCTTAATCTGTCATTTAACTTGGAGAAATCCATATGAAGTTAAAAGGCACTTAAGTATCAAAATAGTAAACAATTAGAGGTATTTACCCTGGTTTTTAGAGAAATCCTGAGATTACTTATATTAATTTTTATATATAATTATAAGACAACTCTATGATTATATAATTATGTTGACTATGATTTCAACATTTTGAAGTTTAAATGACTTAATTACCCTATTAATCAGTATCTTATAAAACAGAAAGTAATTGTTCAAATAGATAGGGTAAACATATTTATACAGTATCTTAGTTGTGTCACTGCAGAGTCATAAACTTAATGTACCATCAATTTGGTCAGCAAAAAAAAGAAAACAGCAAAAAAAACAGAAACTGGGAAAAAATACCACACAGCAAGCCAGGTACAATAAACACACAACTTAAACAAAAGGTAAGCAAATAAATTTGCTACATAATATGAGGAGGATAATACATGTACATGTATATAATTACTTCAAACTGAACAAGTATAAATAACTCGAAATATATGCCGTATATATAAAATCACTGATACATTGCCATGATATAGTATAATAAATGAGGAAAAAATACAGAAAATCAGAAATACATTACAGCAGTCTTTTATAAATTAAATGATGTCCAATTATTTGTTTTCATAATAACTTAACCATAAATGTATGACACCATGCACATTGGGGCATTATTTTTTAACCTGTATTTTTATAAACAATTTTTTGGCTTTCTAATAATTGCATGCTTACGGGTTAACTTTATTCATAGTATTATAATAATATTGAAAATTTAATAAAGCAATTACATATTTCCTTACATTATTAAACAACTAGTGTTCTGTACAATAGGAAGTTATATCTGTATAGTAATGTGTGACTTTGACTGTAACTTCAACTTTCCGGTACCATCTATGAACAGGCTCAATCAAACCGAGTCTGAAACATTTTCAATTTTGTGGTTTTGGGCATTCTTTAGGGATTCTTTTTTATATAACTTATATTAAGCACTTTAAGTTTACTGATAGACAGAAATATCAAAATATTTTCCTACCTAAAAAGAGCAATATTTTCCCTTAACTAACAGATTCATATACGGAAATAATATGTAAAAATTGAATGTTATTTCTGATACAACTGATTTGAATGGAAAAAAAACACAAAATAAAACAATAACTTAATGCAATACAATGTGCAATAAAAAAAATGTAATCTGTAATAATAGTGTGAAAGCTTACGCATTGTTGGTATAAATAATGAAAGAATTATGACAGTAACATACATATAAAAAAAATGAGTAAACTAACAATCAGGCAATGTAGATGATACATGATAGATGGTCAAAATAAAAGTGCTACATAGTACCATGTGTACATGTATACTTACAATAATTGGTACAAGTTCAAACTACAGTAACAATAAAATATATCACATTAGCTTTGTATGTAACACATTAGCTTCATACATAACACATTAACTTCATATGTAACACATTAGGTGGATATGAAACAGATAAAGTTCATGTGCTTCAGACTAGGTTCATAAGTAACAGATTAGGTTCATCTGCAACACACAAGGCTTGTAGGAAAATATCAAGTTCAAACGCAAGTTGATAACAAATACTGTTGCACGCAAGATCTTTTGTTTAAATTACCAGATTTCAAGTTGCACAAACATTAAGAGTGTTATATGAGACCTTTTCAGTTTTGCTGAAAGAAAGATGTTCACAAGTGCCCTGTACAGGTGCAAAACTCTGGACCTATATGTATTCATAAACCTCAGATGTTGCCTGGGTATCATTGAGACCAAACTTACAGTAGTAATTTTGTATGTCAACATACATGTATTCTCCTTATCATGTACACTTTTTATCTAAATAAAGAATGATCACCTTACATAATGTCACCTTAGTGCAGTAATTGGTTAACTCCTTCTATAATTTAATAGGAGTTTAACCGTTTTTTGTGAGCTTTGTTTGGTTTTACGGCACAACAACACAATTTAAGTCATCTGGTGCCAAAACAGGAAAGATGATTTTGGATAATCTGGTGGTACAAACTTAAAGCAACACCAGGGATCAAAAACACCTGGATCTAAGAGATGTATAGACTCAAGTAATTCAAATCTTACAATCATGCAGGGATAAACAGTGGCTGCAATTCTGATGCCTCAATCCTTAAAGGCAACCCCTCAGCCACAAGGGGGAGTTAAACCATTACTGCACTAAGATGATGATTATGTTTGCTGTACATTAATTTAATACTGAAAGTTTTAAACATATGCTTGTTTCATCATCTTAAAACATCAGCAACAACAAACAAGCCTAGACAACACTTTGTGTAACAATAACCATTCATGTGATTTAGGATACCCTGTAGGGAGAAGAATGTGAAGCCATATTACACACATAAACTTCTTTGTCAGGAAAAGAATGTGATCACATATTACATACATACAATACATTCTCGGCCAAAGAACGTGAAACCATATTACATACATAGAATACTTTCTCTCCATCATGGTACCTAGTTAGTAAATTAAAACACAAAACAAAACAATTTTAAAACTGCAAATCAATTAGCCTTTATTTTCCATCAAAGAATGTGTTTTAGTCAGCTGTAAGTAAGAATGATACTTCATTTAAATTCAAACTAACTAGTTACAGGAAAGCATTGTAGTTCAACTGAGGGAACTTGAGTGTGATCCCATGAGGGCTTTAAACCCACTGTTTTTATATGACAATGTTAACATCATTCAAAATATCATTGATTTAACTTCTTAACAATCTTTGAAACATAAAAAATGTTTATCAAGACACAAAAATACAACATAACATATGAGCCGCGTCACGACAAAACCAGCATAGTGCGTTTGCGACCAGCATGGATCCAGACCAGCCTGCGCATCCGCGCAGTCTGATCAGGACCCATGCTGTTCGCTTATCCACTCTATTACAAGTAGAGAAACTGATAGCAAACAGCATGGATCCTGATCAGACTGCACGGATGCACAGGCTGGTCTGGATCCATGCTGGTCGCAAACCATTATGTTGGTTTTGTCGTGACACGGCTCATATATACTTTGTGTTAGGTAAAACTTCAGAAAAGAAAAGTCAACATACACAAATGATCAATGATGTAACATATTATATTAGAATTAGATATCACCAAAATCAATGAAAACCTATTCAACCACATTTAATATACCATATCTAACAGCTCTTGTATGGGGGTCTGTAAAACAGTAGAGTCACTACATGATATATATCATCTTCTTACAGAAAGTGTACACTGGCATGAGATATTAATAAATAATAATACAATCACTGAAACTGAACCTTAAAGATTTGTATGTACATATCATTATAATGTGTGTCTAGTTATGCAGAAAATTAAATTCATCTTACTTCAAAACAAAAAACTACTAGACACTGCCCGCATATATAATTACTGTATAATACATGTATTGAGAATATATCGGAATAGTTTAGTTTTGAACTTATTCATCAATAAGTTAAATAAGTTAATACTGTTTATATGAAAAAAATACAATTTAGCACAGCTATAGCAAAATGATTGTTTGTTTCTGTTAGATGATGAGTTCTGTGATTATTTTGTGATTATTTTGCTTAATGCTGCTGTAAAACGTGAAAATCAGGTGACTACTGCTTTAATTGCTACAGATATAATGAAATTATATCAACCTTATCCTTAATGACGTAACTATGGAACTGATAAAAATAATCCTAGTTTGTAATTGTCCACTGTTAGTTTAAGCCATTTAAGGTCCAATACTGCTACTTATATCAAAGTCTTTTAAGTTGGTTATTTTGTCTTTCATCTATATCTTCATAAAATAATTCTACATCATCTACAACATTTAAAATTGAACAAATGATAGACATTAAAGTACACATTGAGTAATACATGTATGTCAACACTATGTGACTGCCCTCTCCTTTCATTTTGTGATCCTCAATGTAAGTTCATACACATGATAATGTATCTTTATCATGAAAAGCCGTCTGGTTAGCTCAATAGGTAGAGCATTAAGACTGTAAAACAGGCGACCTGGGTTCGATTCCCAGATGGTGCATGTCACTTTTGTTTTGATTGATCATGAAATCTTTTCTATGGTCATTCCCACTGTACCTCTGCTCTGGGTTGTACAGACATTTCAGTTCCTTGTGGAAGTTAAGACAACTAGTACTTGTTAACTGCTTGGCACCCTGCCCAGGAACGATGCAGTGATCAAATTGTGCTCTGGTAATTCAATGTGGCTTACAGATGTGATTCAGAGTGAAAACTACCAACACCATCACTCTTTATCATATGACAGTCCAGTTGTAGGTATCAATTTTAAAATGGAAAACAACAACAACATACAATCAACTAACAATTTCATATGAAAACAATCAGACATGTTAGAAAGGCATGGGAAGCAAATGTAGATGATAGGATATTGTGGGTGGGGTGTTATTAATTGCTGGCAGCATAAAATCTCAGCATTTACCAATTGTAGTATATCTTCTAGATTGCTCTGAAAACAACAACCATTCATGAGACATTATGTCAGTATTATAAGATAGACAATGATCGGTCTGTTGCTGTTGTCATTTACTGCAGACTATCTCTACAAACAGAAATGTAAACAATGTCCATACAGCTTGAATCAACCTATCTATGCAATTATCACAATATTCTACATGTTTTAAATATCAGACAATACATTCAGATTTGATCATCTGACATCATCTAACATAAAAAAATGAATTTGCTCAGCCCAGTTTTTTTTTACATGCCTGGAGACAACAGTTAATGACTTGAAAACGATATTCCATTTTTTTTAAATAATAGATAAAATAAATAAAGGGGAAAATAAAATATGTTGCCACCATCTATGTCAAGGCATTAAAACACAACATTTTTTTCTGGTTATTTGTTGTATTCTCTTAAAACAAGCATAATAAAAAGTGCCTGAAAATGTAAATCAGCTGTTTATAATGAAAGCAGAGTGGGATAATATAAACTGTTTAAAATGCCTGCACTAGCCAGCATTATTAACTTACAGAGTGATTAACTAACAAATATTGTTCTAACTTATACTCATTATATGTTACTGGAAGTCCTTAACTTTAACATGCTATTTGACAGTTGGTGAGATAGTTTTTCAGTTTTATTTAACATTTTGAGTATACAAATTATACTGAAAAATTATAAATTCAGATTATGGTAAGTATAAAATATATAAGTAATCATATTCTATTCTGATTAACATCTGTAACAAAAAACTATATCCATCAAATAAGCTGTGACACTCTCTCAATATTAAAATGTAAACAGCATTTTTGACAGACAAAAAATTATCTTAAAAAGAACTTCCATTATGGTCAAATTTTTTTTCTTGATTTGCTACTAGTTTGTTTAGCATAAATCACGTTATGAAACATATTGTGTTACAGGAATTTTAAATCAATAATTAACTTTAGTTTTTAATTTTCATGCATAATCTATAAATTGTTTCTGGGATTATCTTGGTGTGTTAGAGTTTTGTAGGAAGTAATGTTATAATAAACATTGTAAAACAGGATAAATTGAATTATCTTTTTATCACACCTTGAACACCTTCTACCATAACAACTCAATGATTTTTTCTTTAATAAATTACTTAACATTATGAAATGAAAATGCAATGCAGCTTTAATGAAATTAAAAATTAGGATATTTTGGACGAGAGAAAATTAAGAATAAATATTGCTGGAATTGAGTAAACTTTTTGAACAAGGCATTAGGGTACTGTACGAGGGTTGTCCAAAAAATTTGTGCACTGCAGTTATTGTCGTTATATATCATTTGAAGGGGAAATCTGTCTCAAATAAGAAAACAAAAGAAAATGCCGTGTAACCGGTGTATCCTGAAAACGAATCGTCATACAGTTACCTTAGTAACGTAATACTGGCGCACGACAAAAAAATTGAGTTAGTTCATTACTGTGATTGTATTAATTTTTTGTTGCTTATAAAGTGCCATTTGCTTTTTATGTCGTAATTTGTTTTACTGTCGATAGAAGAATGACTGGTGCAAAGTATTTTGTAGTTTTTATTGTTCTTATGCAACCTACATGAAACATATTCCACCAGTGCATGAATATATTCGACAACCCTCGTCACATGCGCCGCCATTACGGATGAAGGTCTGCCTGATCAGTTGTCATCGTCTTCCGACTCTCGCCTCTCAACAAAGCGTTTGTGCCATTTTAAAAACCTGCCTTCGTGACATTGAACTGGCCCCGCTTGCTATTTTAAGTTTTTTGTTGGTATATGTCGGTGTTTTACCAATATTTGTGCATAATTTAATGATCGTCCGTATTTCCAGACGTTTAGCGACTGACATTTTCACGTAATGACTGTATTTACGACCACACGGAAATTTTTGTTAACGACTGTTACATTACGGCAAATGACGTCATATTTTCTTGTGAAATTAGGAATACGTAGAAACACTTTTCCCTTAATTTTGACGTTTATATGCAGTGTTTTAAGGATACAGTTATGCATCAAAATAATGAACTAACCCAATTTTTTGTCGTGCGCCGGTATTTCGTTACTAAGGTAACGGTATGACGATTCGTTTTCCTAACACGCCGGTTACACGTCTTTTTCTTTTGTTTTCTTATTTGAGACAGATTTCCCCTTAAAGTGATATATAATTCTTGGTTTTTTATCAATTACTCTCACGACAATAACTGCAGTGCACGGATTTTTTGGACAACCCTCATATTAAGGAACTGTTTTTATTGCATGCAAAAAAAAGCTGTAAGGCCTTGGAACTCATACATACCTCTTCTTCCCACTATACATCATACATATAGATAACATATAATTACCATATAATATATACAATATGTTATAGTTATGTCATTTTCATTCATTAATATATACAATACATATAGATAACATATAATTACATATAATATAAACAATTAGTCATAGTGATGTCATTACACTAATAGCTTAAATGACATATTATAAGTGATACTGTTAACCATCTCTGTTAACTCCACATTGTATGCTGTAAAGTTTTGTCTTAAACATTCTGTATTAAATGTCTGTACAATGATAAGACGTATATATTAAAACAGAGTCCAGATAGAAAACGGCCTCCCTTTTAAAAAATTTTTACTGTAAGCTAACTTACTTTATCTACAACAAAATAAATCTTTGGTTATAACATAAATTATGCTCAGTTTTAAAACAAAATGAACATTATTCAGAAATACTTTTCATGTGAAAGAAGGAAAAAATCTGGTTACTCTTATAGTAATGTGTGAAGTAACTCATTGTGTTTATAAAATGTTTACTTCCGACTGTTTATAAAATGAAATCTAAAACTGCCCTTCCTGAATATCTTGCCTGAACTTGTCCAGCTTCTATTTATGGACTTTTCTTTTATCAATTTAAGGGACAGCATGATGAAAATTCTATCAGCTAATACAGGAAAGACTTTGGTTAGACTGTATAGATATGCAATCTAACCTGGCTCTATAAATTGTACTTGTGAGTGAGGCTGTTAAATATATATATATGGCTCTCTGGCATAAATATGACTTACTAACAAGATGAAATATGCTTTTTAAAAAAACTACTGCTCTAATAACCTAGCTAATTTAGCAAAGTTAAAAATTTGTTGATGACTGTTTCTAAAATCTAAATTAAACAGATATAATAGAACTACTAGTATCTGAAATGGAAACAGTTCTAATAACTATATCTTTAACATAAAAGCTTGAAAGGTTCTCAAACCTAATTAAATTACATTTCAATAAAGTGGTATCAAACAAGAAGTTGTTCTTCAATTCTAATTAAGTCATGGCATCTTGATGTAAATTTTAAGCATAAATACTTAAATAGTACTTACAAGAGGTGCAAAAACATCTTCTCCCTGGAAATTCTTGGGTGGATTGTTAGGGCTGTTACAAAATAAAAAAGAAATTTCTTGCACTTGTTTTTTTACAATGCTAATTATTTCTATGATTATGGACTTGGCTATACCTAACATTGAAATTTACCAAGACAAAGCTTTATGAGACTTTGTATGCTAAAGCACTTGAGAAAGACATGAATCAACTAGATGTAGGGCTCAGGCAAAATGTGTTATGTTTCGGTGTTTGAACTCCGTATGACAATGGCGGTAAACGACCCGAAAAACAACTTTTAAGAGGCAGTAAAGTGGCTGTTATAATCCAATATAATACCCATATTCAAGTTTTATAGAATATAATAATTGATATATATGATATGATATAGTAATTATTTACGTTTTGACCCATTGTTTCTGATCCATCTCTCCCCATGGTGGTTTAATACTTGGCTTTGTAAATGCTGGATTGATCACTCTGTCTGAACGTTTACGTACAAGAGATGCTGAGGCCATTGTCCCCGACATATTTACAGAGTCTGCGGCAGGTACAACTGACTCATCCTAATCAAACAGGTATAAATAAATAACAAATGTCTTCATTTACTGTATCAGCCATTTAACAAGTTATCTTTAAATCATATAATTTCTAAAATTCTTACACAGAACAGTTAAAATGAAAGAAAACTAATGAATTTAGCAAGTTTATGGACATCATTATCTGATTATTTTTTATGTTGATGCCAATACAAATGTAGCAATGTTGCAGCAATACATTAAATATAAACATGAAATGTAATATTCCTTAGTAAAAAACCTAAACCTTTATACCAACATTATTTATCATTATTTATCTACATATTTTTAAACAGATATTACAACTTATTTTGTTATAAATTATTGATGCTGTTTAGAACTAAACTACACGTATAGTCATGAAAGTATAGTTAATAGTTCTTGCTTGTCAAAAACAGGACCTGGTTAATATTTTATTCAGTTTAGTGTTAAATAAGTATCATACAAGATGCACTTTCATTGTTTGACAAAAGAAAGCAACACAAAAAAAAAAGCAACATGAGTACATTATTTAAAATGTTTTACATTTCTTCAATCAAGTAACCATTCTCAATTATTTTAAAGTAAAGGGTATGAACATATCTTACATCATCAAGGTCTAGATGCTGACTAGGTATAGTTCTCATTATCTCCTGGTAAACTTCACGTATTTCATCTCCTAGGAACAGATTCCTGTCTAGCTGCTTTACTGTGGCAGCATCAATCTATCAATTAACAAATAACATCTTTCATAAATAGACATAATTTCTTCATATGTAGACAATAACTATAACTGAGTTGACAGAGTCAGTTAAAACAATATTAAAATCAAGATAATTCAAAACTTCCCAAGACATTCTTGTTGGTGAAATAAAGAAACAACATGTAAAACAAAACAGATTTTTGTGACTTTATGGATATGTGCCAAATTGACAAGTCACTTCTTTAAAAAATAAAGAAAGAAACAACTATTATAAATGTTGTATTCTAAATAGGATCTTATTTATAAATGTTTTATTTACATAAATACACATAATACATTGTATATATAGAGTAAGGAATTTTGACCTATCAGTTGAGTATTAATATTTATACCTTGAGTCAAATGTTTTCTAAAATTAAATGTTCATTACTTCACGAATACCACAGATTAATAATCAGTGGCATAGACCGTTAGAGATTTGACTATGTTTAATGAATCTATTTAGAAAAAGAAAAGAAATGAACATGTATGACAATACAAACCTCCTCTAGAAGATCATTATAGACTGTAGCATATCTATCCAGGGTAATAGAAGACATACACACTCTTTCTGACACCCTGATGTCCGACGCTCGAACCTCCATCTATAATATAATTGTACACAAGGTTACATTTTCTACAACTTATTTTTGCTCAAATTCTTCTTTTAATTAATAACATCACCAGCAATCAGTGGTCAAAATATAAACAATAACTATTTATAGTATATGATTAAAGGCCTATATAGTTTATTACTGTTTCAATAATAATAATACTGCCTAAAGTATACCATTAAAAGGCTGTAGAAGGTTATTACTGCTTAATGTACATGTATATCATTACAGCTAGAAGTAAATATTATTAACAGATCATGGGGCGTCAGTTGGCGAGTGGTTAAGGTTGTTGACTTCAAACCAATTGCCCCACACCGCTGTGGGTTCAAATCCCGACAGGGACTTTGGATTCTTTCATGTGAGAAAGCTATCCAGATAGCTTACGGAACGTAGGTGGTTCTACTAAGGTGCCAGTTCTGCCTGAAATAATGCACGAAAGGGCACCTGAGGTCTTCCTCCACCAGTAAAACTGGAACGTCGCCAAATGACCTATACTGTGTCGGTGTGACGTAAAACCAAATCAAACTATCAATAGATCATATATGAAATGAGGCAGTGTGGTATATTTGAAGACTTGACTTTTACAGGAAGTATAATTGTACCTGGTTTGGTAGTTTGGCTTTAACAACAGCAGGTTGGGGATGTGTAGGTTCCCTCAATGGAATGCTGTAAAATAGATAATGATTTATTAATATGAATGATCTCATCTTTGCATTGAAAAAACTAGAAATGTGTTGTCACGCCACAGATGCCCCCGCATGCAGCCAAAATTTCAGATATTATAATATTTAGTTCCAAATTTGTTTGCACAAACTATTTTTTTCAAAGCCCTTAAAACTATTCTATGTTAACACAAACCATTTTAATAAAAAGTTCAAGGCACTGAAACTATTCAGTGTTAACTCTTTATAAATTGCATATTGCATATTTGTAACCAAAATAATGACTACATACATTTCCACAAAAGTATGAATGCTGAAACTGAAAATTCAAAATTTTTCCAACATTCAAGAGAGATAAACTTTGTCCAAAATCATTGAACCACGACAAATTCAAACTTGAACTGTTTATTCTATATGTCAAATTTGAGTTAAATATGTACATATTGGGGGATAATGAACGGAAACTAAAATTTTCTGATCTTTTTCAAAGTTCAAACTATGACCAAATTCAATTATGACCTGTGTATTCTTATGACATATCCATATGTTAAATATGAGTTGAATATGTACAAATTTTGGGGAGATAATGAATGGAAAGTGAAAATTTCATATTATTTTCCAAGTGAATGGGGCATAACTCTGCTAAAAATCATTGAACCATGACCAAATTAGAACTTGACCTGCGCATTTCCTTTGATGTATCCTTATGTCAAATTAGAGTTGAATGTGTAATACTGTTTGGGCAATAATGAACGGAAACTTAAATTTTCATATTATTTTCAAAGTGAAAGGGGCATAACTCTGTCAAAAAATCATTGAACCATGACCAAATTCAAACTTGACCTGTGCATTTCTTTGATGTTTCCATATATCAAATTTCAGTTGACTGTGTAGTACCATTGGGGAGATAATGAACGAAAACTGAAAATTTCATCAAGGGGCATAACTCTGTCAAACATCATCTGGCCATGACCAAATTCAAACTTGACCTGTATTTTCTTAAGATATATCCTTATGTCAAATTTGAGCTGAATGTGTGCAACAGTTACTAAGATAATGAACGGAAACTGATGATGACGGAATGATGGAACAAGGTAACACTATATGCCAAAGCCATTTTATGGTGGGGGCATAAAAAGAAATGCATATCAAAACCAGATTTTATATTGTTTCTAGCATATGTTTCAATTAGTTTGTCTTTTGTTGTGGTTATGATATGACAATTTGTAACTTAAACTATTGTGTTTTACTTTAACTTTTGATACACATATTTTTGTTTCTTCTGAAAACATTTTATGCATTCTCTGTGCTCCATATCATAAAATGTTTAATTGTATTGAGCAATAGGCATAGTATATTTACATGCTGTATGCAATAAACTTGAATTGAATAGAACTGATTATGCTTTAGTGACCACGATTTGACATCCTGAGCAGTTTTGCAGTATAAGTTTAATACACCATACATGGTTTCCTAATTGTTCAAACTTCAATGTTTTCTGATACTTGAATCTACCCTTTTTAATTAAGATGTATGTATTTCTACTTTGATGTTTTCTGATTCTGAAATTGCCTTTGACAACTATTAACCATTTTGTTGTTATTTACATTGTTCAAGTATTTTGTTACAAAAATATTCTACCTCTTTTGCTCATGATCCTTTCTTTCCTTTTCTTTCAGTTCTGCCAGTTTCTTCTCTAGAACAGCCTTCTGTCCATCATGCTTGTAGCTGGTTGTTATTGCCTGTATGTAAAGTCATTAAAATGTAAAATTTCATATCATATCAGTTGTATTGTTATCTTTTTTTTTGCAATTTCAGTTGACTGATTTAGTCACAGTCAAATGTTAACATGTTATGTAATTATTTCAGCCAGACAGAGATCACAGTAGAACAAGCAGCCTTCTTGTAACTAGCTGAAAGGCTTCCCTTACATGACTGTATTCAATGATATGTATGGTTAACATACTATAGTGGCTTTACTAATGATGGTAGCTGTCACAGGATTATTACCTGAAATGGAGTAGTCTCTGAGAGAGTTATTACCTGAAGGCCAGGAGGTAATTGAGAATTATCACTGAAAGGAGAGGAGACACATTGAGGGTTATGACTTGAAGGTAAGGAAGTTACGACAAGGTTATTAACTTAAGGAGAGGAGGCAGTGAGAGGTTTTTTACCTAAAGGAGGTTAGAAAATGAGAGGATCATAATCAGAAGGAGAGGAGACACTTCATGGATTATTACCTGAAGGGGAGCAAGTACTAACAGGGTAAGTGAAAAAGAGGAGGCAGTAAGAGGATTTTACCTGAAGGTGAAAGGGGGCACTAGGAGAGTTTTTACCTTAAGGAGAGGTAGCACTGAGAGGTTTATTACCTGAAGGAGGCTCAGAGGGTAATTACCTGAAAGGGAGGAAGCACTGACAGGGTTTTTAATTTTTAGAGAGGATGCACTAAGGCTTACTACTTGAAGGAGAGGGAGCACTAAGAGTTATTACCTGAAGTAGAGGAGGCATATCCTCATCTGATTTTTTCTCCTTCTCAGACTTGCCAAGAAGATTCTGTAAATCTTTGGAGATATATTCTCTTGTTCCTGGCTGAGGTACTTTACTAGCTTTCAGTTCCTTCTCCTACAGAAATAAATTATCATAAGTATATAATGGCATCACAAAGATTATATGTTTTTGTAAACCTTTAAATCTTTGCCCCTCAATTACATACTTTCTGAAAAGCTGTCCGATAGGCATGCTTTTCAAAATGTATGTAGTATGCCTGTCAGGTTCAAGTTATATCCCATGCATTCCACTTTGATAACTATGCTTATCTAAGCTTTAAAGCTTAACACCTAATACAACTTATTACCAATCCAAATAAATTCACAGAAACTTTAAATACAAAACCAATTAACATGCATAAAGAGTTTGTATTTGCATAATCATATGGTTACAGATTGTTTTAGATTTTAATTTATCTTAATTTGAGTTTCCATTAAGAGAACATCAGATAATAAGATAAATAAATCATCACTACAGCACTACTTACAGCATCATTTCTGGCATTCTCCCCTTGTAGACGTTCTATTTCCTGACTGATGAGTTTATCTTCCCTCACATTTTCCTCTACACCAAGTTCTTCCATCAAACTCTCACCCATCTGTATTTGTGGTAACGAGTTGGAACGTTTCATTAAAACCTTTTCTTTAGACTTAGTCTCCTTTGACATCCTGATAATATATACATGTACAATACCACACGTTTTATTTCTCCTCTACATAGAAGGTATTGAATGAGTGTAGGTTTAATACTAAATTTATTGAACAAGTTGAATAAAATCAGTAATGAAGTTACACTAATATACATGTAATATTCTATTGATCACATACCCTAATGAAAGACTGTTTAGATGCAAAAAATCATTTTTCATTGATGTGCCTATAGTGATACACTAACATTAGGGTGCTTTAAAGCTATGTTTGTATATAACGCAAATGCTGTCACATCAAAGTGTAATTACACTAGTAGTGTAATTTTGTTTTTATCACATACATGTAGTTTTATTATACTCCCTCGCCGTAGTTTATATACCACCTGGCAAAGTGTACAAGACTGCAAGTTTTTAATTTGAATATCTTTAGACCGGGCAGTCAAGATATGTAAATTACACATGTGCATGCACTTTTAATCTGATTTGATTTCAATATATATCCTAACAAAAAATGCAAGTGGGGATGATATTACATTGAACGTTTACTCACCCTGAAGACTTGGAAGGTACAGATGAGTTCCTGGAACCAGCATCATCCTCTGATGCTATAACACAAATATTGTAATGATAATTATTACTGTTGTACAGTACTTACAGTAAACATGTGTGTATTTTTGTGCATGAAACATCACACTGACTAAACCCTGCTGCCTATCCCACAAAATGACAGTAATTTATAATGCATTGTATTTTTCAGCAAAGACTAAAGGTATTAAACTTTACATGACAAGGAAACAAAAAGAAGGGAAGCAAAACTACCATCTGATTTTGCAAAGTCTAATTTTACTTCAACATTGACATAATGGCATTCAATAAAGGAGGCAATTTCAAAAACTGCTATAGCCTTTAAAGATCCTGTAACACATTTTTTTCATGGTTTTATTTCATAAATATGATGCTCAAATTAAGTTTTGTCAATATTGTAAGTTCAAATAAGCATTATTTATAAAGATATTACCCAATATAACATTTCATGTAAATAAAGGGAGGTAATTAGAAATTTATAATAAATAAATTTACATAAATTCTAAGTCAAATTTTCCAATAAGAAATGAATGCATGTAATTGATTGATTAAATATATTGTGCACAAATATTTGCAGTACACATTTTACATATCCTTTGATGTTTGAAAATTGTTTTATTTGCATAATTATTTACATATATAATTTTTGTAAGTGTGGTATTCACACAGTAATAATATCAATCACAAAGCATACAGGATCTTTAAAGACTGTCTAAGACTGACCTGTAGATGGGCTAACTAAAATCACACTCTAGCTATCTCAAAGATACCTCAAATGGAAAAGCCCAAGATTTTTTAAAACAAACTTTTACAATAAATTTGAAATATCAAACCATTTAAAAAATAACAGTTAAAGTATTAATTTTATATAAAACTATTTTAATATTAAATATGAAAGAGTTAAAACAATGTAGCATCAAGTGGTTGAAATATATTACCTTGTGAGGGTGTTTCTAGCTGTCTGTCTGGCATATCAGCAATTACATCATGTAACTTCATCATGTCTAAAGTTGGCATGTTATTAATTATCTGAAATAAAACATTCATTTTCACATGAAAATTCCCACAATTCCAACTCAAGATCAGAAGGACCTGAAATTGTTGTTCTTCACTTTCCCTTTTCTTTATAAAGAAAGAGAATAAAATTTGTGACTGTTAATTGTTATTTTAACTACTAATACTGAGTACTAATACTTTACCTATAACATCATTATGTGTCTAGTTAAATCAACATTACATCCAAAACCTTTTGCTGCCAAGACTTTAATTATATGTATATTTATAATGCATTTGTCAGAGAAATGTCTAAGAACTACAGGAAATGCTTATTTTTCACTTCAAGTATGAATAAATTTTATGAAACCTTAACATTTATGAAAGAAAATATTAAAGTTAAAATAAGTTGAGTTTCATTTTTATTCCACTTTCAAGTGAAAAAAAATATGATAAAATACCATAAAATCATGTATATACAACTTGGTGGCAAACAGATAGAGACTGGGATGGGTAAACCTGTATTGAATGCAACAAAGAGTTTAATTGTCCCACAATACCTTAAACATCTTCTTGAGACTAGGTGGAGCTTATTTTAGTTCTTAATACCAAATTGAAGTGAACAAAGCTTCACTCTGTAACACAACATTCTCTTTCTTAAAGTCTAAAATTGCATAATGAAGAATAACACAGATAAGTAACCTTAAACATAACCCTGTTCTTACCTTCTGGGCTTCCAGAGCTGGACTTTTGTATTTAAATCTCTTTGTTTTAGATTTTGGTCTACTAGTCTCAATCTGAAAACAGAGAAATTTTTTTTACTGAAAACATTATCTTATATTCTTGTTAGCCTTCTTGCCTATCTGAAAATTTTTCAAAACATCAAGATGGTTTAATTTTTAATTTTAGAACATAAAGTGCAGGAAGTATTCCTTTTGGCTAAACATTGAACAGTCACAAAATACATGAAATTTGTACAATATTTTTTTAATGACTCATTCAGGTTCTTGTCATCTGTATTTTGGAATGCAAGTGGTAAATAAAGAAGAAATTTAGATAGTAGAATATACTCAATACAGTAATACTCACCAAACCTTTGTAGGACATTGCTGGTGCATTCATACCAGGTGCAGAATACGTGAAATCCATGGATGCCTGCCAGTCTCCATCATCTTGTGAACGTATGTCAGCAACAAGGTATCGCCTTATAGTTAGTATGTCCAAACTGACAAAAAGAATGCATATCATGAAATGATTTAATTTAAAAACATAAGGACTTTACAAATTAACAGTAAAAAAATCCTTGCCTCCATAAATCAACAAGAAATGAAAAATATATATAAAGTATTTATAAATACATCAATTTTATTTGGTTTGAACTTTATATATCATTTATTCATTATATGTTTTTTTAAGATAAAACAACATCATGTTATAGTGTTTGTTTGGGTTTTATGCCACACTGACAGAATAAAGGTCATATGGTGATGTTCCAGCATTACCGGTGGAGGAAGACCTCAGGTGCCCTTCTGTACATTATTTCGGGCACAAACAGGCACCTGAGTAGAACCAGCAACATTCAGTAAGCTAGCTGGATTATGGCTGAGCTTCTTTACATGAAAGAATCCAAAGTCCCTGTCGGGATTTGAACCCACAGCCTTGACAGTGGTTTGAAGTGCACAACCTCAAATTCAAGTTTATATATCTATAAATTGAGGGCTTCAAATAAACTTAAACAGAGAAGACCTTAAGATATAAATTTAGAGTTGCCTCTTTTCATTCAATCACACCTGTATGAAAACAGAATATAGCAACTTACAATTTGTTAGCATCCAGTGACAACTGAGCTTTTAACCTGCTCATGTTAGCAGGACCACTAAAAATACCTCGACTATTCAACACTGAAATAACAAATTACAATTTCTTCAATTTTAAACATAAGTATATAACTTAAATCTAACAGTATATCATCATTCATTTTAATGCTGCAACTTTCTCAAACTACATGTAATTTCTAATTAAGGATAATATGTCTGTAATTTAAAGGTAAGTACAATCAAAAGTTTAATTGTTAAAATTTAAATGTATTCATTTTCAACATAGTTCCCAGGAATAAAACTTTAATTTGAGCCAAGATTCTCAAGAAATACCTAAATAACTCTTATATTTGAGAACTCATATAAACGAAAACTTCTCTTTAAGAAGCCCACCTAAAGTGTCGTGCTAATTTCACTGAAATTGTTAAAGGTTGTAAAACAAACTGTCAGTGAATAAAGTAAGGCTCTTATAATCCACATGTACACCTTAAAACTTATCAAAATTATAAAACACAAAATGCCCTTTATCCAATATTAATTGGATAGAAGTATATGAAAATCAAGATCAAGTAAAGAAAAAGAATATCTGGTAATTAAACCTGAAATTTACAACAAGAAAGTATCAATTATGGTGTGATATTATCATACTAACCCTCAGCTTTTTTTAGATAATGAAGGAAAAGTTGTTCACAGACTGTCACTATGTGTACAGATATCCTCCTGTTTAATTCTTTATTTTCTTCAGCATTCTGACAGACAAACAAACAAACAAAAAATTATAACAGGCATTATATGTTTGTACATACAATTTACACACATGTGCACACACATATATAATCATCTGCTTTATTTAATGTTTGTATTAGATGTACAAAGTCAGAAAAATAAATCTGTATTGCATACTTTGTTCAAAGGCAGAATATAATCACATTTATATCACATTTCCTTAATTAGTTACCTATACTTAGCTAGATCACAAAGTTATACACACAACAAAATCATACAAATCAACTGTTTTAAAGCAGAATAAACAAAGGTGTGCATTGTTTCAGGAATCAGCAATATGGATTACAGCCTGTTTATTGAACAGTTGGTCAATAACCTTAGCCTCTTTGCCAGAGACACCAATCAAATATGTTAAATATTATATAAATAATGATAATGTAGTTTTTTTGTTATATAGAACATACACTTACCAAAAAGGGGTCATCAATTTGTTTTCTTATTTCTGGCCAGACCCCTGTTACCTCACCCATTAGAATACCAGCCTGTAGAATATGATAATATCTTTAGCATGTAATTATGGAAAAAAATCAAAAATACATTATGAACACAAAATAGCCTTTTCAGAAAATAGTCTATGTAACATTTATTCCTCTAAAGTAATCATAAAATTATTGCATAATACTGGATATTAAATGTTTATCTGATATCAGTAATGTTCCAAGTTTATATTTTACAAATTCAAAACATGTTTCATTAAAAACAAACTACTGTAAAGTACTGATAGTAAAGATTACAAGGTGCTTACAAGTAATTGTTGGTCTTCAAATGACAGGTGTGGCACATCAGGACGTGGTGATAATCTGCGGCGAATGTATCCAGCAAGTTGGTCAAAGGAAGTTGGTCGAGACTTAATTTCTCTCTATTAAAATTGAATAACAGATAAATATTTAGTTGCACATTCAAATATCTTTTCTTTTGATAATATTTCAGACAAATGTACAGTACCAATGGTCAGCACTACCTCTTTAAAAGTGTCAATCAATTGAAGGTTAACATGATCTTTTACTTTAAAAACAAGCACAATTTTTTTTTTGTATACACTTCCATAATCAATAAAACAAAGAAAATTGGCTAACTCTCTTACTGAATAAAAATCTTTTACTTCTGTTGAAACTTATTAAATCAAAATAAATTATAGGACACTGTACAGTAACATTAGGCTTAGATAAAGCATTTAACTTCAAGATATGTCCTGATATTTATCATTCAGAATATTTACTTACATCTATAGGAGTAACTGGCCTTTCCAACTCCATTGGTGCTTCTTCATGTACTATTTAAAATAACAATACATGTATATCATTCTAACAGAAATTACCGTATGTAAATACAATATAACTAAAATCTTAAATAGGGATGGCAACGAATACCAAAATCAATACTCGAGTACTCGGTCATTTTTCCGATCGAGTACTCGGTTACTCGGACGATTTCCAATGATCTTCAAAGTTTATCACATAATATCAACACCGTCCGCATGCTACTTTCGTTTTCTATTTACATTCATAGAATTTGTAACTATAGAAAGGAGACAAATTAATTAAAATTAAATCAACAACATTATATTTTAGAACATATTTATTAATGCAATATCAAGTTTAAAACATGTTTAACAGTTGAAACATCTTTTTCTTCTTGTAATAAAATAGACTAATCGGCGGCAACAAAAGTTTACCCGGGTCTAAATACTACCTTAATTATCATATCATAATAGCAATACGGCCCTTTTTCAAAAATGTTACCTTAAAACAAGATTCGGGTACAAACTGCACTGTGTTACACAATTAAAAGTTACTAAATATCATAAGAGGCCGGATGACATAAGCGACACATGTGCGCGTGTCAAACTGTTGATCGCCTCATTAAATTTATGGTATCATTTTCGCACCTCTGCAAGGAAGTTGTGATTGCATTTAACAGGTATTTATGAAGGTATATGCACATCTCCGAATTTCTAAACTAATTGGATACATTTATTAAATTTAATGTTTAAATAGCAAATAAAATAGAAATTATACATTTTTTCCGAGTAATCGAATATCAATTTTGATAACCGATATTCGGACGTTCGATCGAGTACTCGGTTAACCGGTTACTCGTTGCCATCCCTAATCTTAAACCATTTCCTTAAATAAAATAATATATCCTACTTCATGATAATATTTATAAAACATATTGAAGAAGACACAGTTTTAACTTTATTTATGATCTGCTAAACTATAATCAATAACTAACAAAAATAAGAGAGACACCTAGCATTAGTGATAATGTATAATCTAAACAACTTACAGTCTTCATGTGGGAATGGGGCAAACAATGACAGAGGCCCAAGAACTCCATTTATCCTTTTTTCCACATCATTCTAAAAAAGAAATATCAATTATCTTGTATGTCTACATTTACATTAATGGGTAATAGTATGATAGTGCCTTACTTGAATATAGTGCTATGTAAACTATTTTGCAAACAAAGATGAACTGTATTTTTTAGGAAATGCTAAAATGTGAAGGATTACACAAATAAAATAAGCTTACGTTATCATATGGAGGCCATTGTATTGGATACATGTCCTCTTGTTTTGTCGGGGCCTCAAAAACAAGCTTGCCATGTGTTTTTGTAGTTTTTGCACTCCCTGACCTCGGACCTTTAAACCTACTGGCTATCATCACCTCGGAAGGCATCTCTACCTCAACTGTTAGCTTGACTTTTAATAGTCTTCACTAATCTAGAATACAAAAGAAATCATTAATAGAAAAATTTCAACAGTGTTAATCAGACTTTGATAGTTAAGGAATTTTTCCAAATAACTGTTGTGACATGTGACAACATTGAATAAATTAAATCTTTCTTACTTATTTTGGTTACTGTTTAGAAATGCAGCTGATTATGAAAATAAAGGAAACATGTTTCATTTATGCTCTTGTCAACATGTCAGTAATAATGAATTAAAACATTAAACCACACTAGACCATATTTACTGTTTACTTGAAATTTTATTTATTTCTTTCTTCATTTAATCAGCTGAAGGTGTACAATATGGAGAAGTCAAAGTTCGGGACCGCAAAGCTGGCCCGAGCTTTGGCTTGCCCGGCTATAGACAACATGTGTATATTTAAGAGAAAATCAAATAAAAAACAATTAAAGAATATTTAGAATTCTATACCTATCAATGAAATTTTCAGTGTCAGTGTCAGTTCTAGTCCGACGTGCTATTTTCAATGTTACTCAATGATAATAGGCGGGGTATTCTGATAACGAACAATCACAACTTTTCGGATAAATAATAATCATGGAGTATTCTGAGTGAAAATGGAAGCAGTGCATGAAATTCCAAATGACACCTTAAAAACTGAAAAATGAACTCTTTTTTTTCCCCGACTTTCCCGTTCATAGGCTTTGCATTATTTCACATTATTTTAAGGTATCCAAGAACCATAAAAAACTTTAAATGAGATGGTCAAAAATGAATATTTTAATTCTAAATAAGTGACGTTCTAATGATATGACAGGGAAGAATATTTTGTTATTTGTATAAAGAATAATTAGTATGTAAGTATGTAAGTAAAGTATCTATAACTATTTGTAAGCATTCACTTTGACATCTTGAATACAAGGTACACTATAGCTGTACAAATTGTGCACCAGGTGTTTCATATTCAATTCTACATTTAATATACATTGCATGCAGTACCTTTAAACTTGATTGTTAAGCTCTGCCTACTTAGTGTACTGACCATTTGACTTCATATTGTAAGACAGTCTTAGAAATAAACTCATAGTATCAACATCTTGTATTTTCTGCATCCACACCAAATACACAAACATAGAACACAAGGCTTTTTGTCATATATGTTGCAGTCACAGATTGACTGCACTTTCCGTTACTTAGGTGTCCTTTCGCTTAAATGAGATATGTTCCGGCGCTCTCGAAATTTTTTTGGATTTCGGTTGCATGCTGGGTAAGTGAACTGACAAGACGCATTTTCCAGTGCTGCAGAATTGAACTTTATATTTTATTTAAATTTGTTAAACTACTGCTAAGTTAAGGTGATAAGATGGTCTAGGTGTTTGAACCAATACTTACTAAAGACCAGATATATGACAGGGGCCTTGTAAAGACTGAAATCTATTTAATATCACTCTGTAAATCTAATTGGTTGGCCTTTCAGTTGAAATATATTGAGGTTTCAACAGGTGAAGTTATGCTTACAAAAATTAGAAATATGTAAACATGAAAGTTTTTGTTTCCACAAGTTTAACTAGTTCTGGCTTCCAAAACTTTATAAGCCGCTTTTTAACATTTTTGTTTTTCATCAGATGCGGCATTAAAGTTTTGGATTAGACCCGTTACGAAACCTAACCAGAATAACCTAAGTTGATTTATTCTTGTTTTTCACTTGCAAATACACTTGACCCGATCAATTCTTGTGCATTTTACGGTAAAACAATTATTTAAATATCGTTCTATACCAATTCAAGTAATAAAATATTAATACCGTCATTAAAATTGCCTATTTAACTGTAAAACATCAATTTTCGCCGACTACAGTCGGCCATGACATTCAAGTGTCACGCGAGATCTCGTATGACGTCATTCGCGGGAACAGATTTGAATAGAGTTGTGTACTATATTTAGAACATTTTGTTGACATGATTTCGATATTTTTATTCAAGATAATGTTTTTTTTTATTTTCATAAATTTTTTAGTATTTAAATATGATTTTATTGAATATAACAGTCAGTAAATAACCTTTTTCAACATCTTAAAAAAAAGTAATCTATAAAAATATTGGAGGCACATGGGTTCATAAAGGTCAATCTCGTAATCACGTGGTCAAACATTTTGGCAATATGGCGGCCAAGTGCCGAAATTTTTACCTGTCGGAAACTATTACGTAGTTTATGTTCCTAATAAGATTTTTATTTGTCCATCCTTGGCTTATCAACAGATTATATATCGTTTTATCAAGGTATACTTCACTTTACTTCGTGGCATGTTCGATAAATAAATACGAGCGTGTCAGATTCCTGGCACGATTATTGGTGGACTTTCCCTACGGGGTTATCTTCAGCGTTCACGTCATGTCATATATATAAACGGGTACGCTGAAGACCTTAAGCTAAAGTTTAACTAGTGGATTCCCAGTTATTGCATGAAATAAACCAACTCAAGTCTTTTCCAATCATTGTAACAGGCAATTTTGAATTTGTACAAAAGATCTGTGTCACTAAAATTCTAAATTTCATCGTGATTTATGCATATCCGAGTAATAGTCCACTTTTATGTCCGCCATGTTTGTTTATCTTCACGACAGATAATTTGAGTTTACTAGAGCATGGGAACGAAAAGGGTCGTTTTGGTGATATGGCTGACACTATAATAATGATATTTGAAAATGTGAATTTCTTATAGAATAATTAAACTAACCACTTGTCACAATTAATCACATTTTATTCTCGTTGCTATGCTCTCACCATCGGAAATTGTAAGAAATACACTTGTATGTCACTTACAATTACACTGGGTAGAGACCACTAATTTTGAGACCACTAAATTCCAGAAAGTGGTTTATGGTAGTTAAATGATGGTTTACAACCAAAAAATGTAAACTTTGAAGTATTTTGTGTATAGGCTATGTCAATAATATTATTTCTTGTTTAAAGACTGATTAATATGAAAAAGGCAAAGCCTCAAAGCGAGCTCGATGTACTTTTAACGTGAAATAGTATGAAATAATCGCTCAATTTTATTTTAAATTTTCCGTTTTAAAATTGTCATTCGGTATTTTATGCACTGCTTCCGTTTATTCTGGTTCCCTCCTATTAAATGAATAAAAATAATGTATTTTATCATTTGTGCTACGTGAATTACTCTAATTTACTGGAAGAAAGAAGGAATCGGCTCGAATGTTGTTTCGAGTGCGTGTGACGTCACACGTACTGTGTTAAATATTTTTTTCTGTTGTTGTTGTTGTTGTTTTTTTTGGAAAAAGATATCAATTCTGAGTGAATATGCACAAAGAATTAATATCTATTTCCATTCTAACACGTCAAGAAAAAATATAATTATTATTATAATGTTGGACTTTATGTTTGGATGGTTAAATTTGTTTTCGCCTCAGAGTTTCCAATAGAAACGTTCTTTAAAGGCTGTTCCAGTGGTATGAAAAATAAAGGCTGTTCCAGTGGTATGAAAAAAAAAACTGTCGTTAAATCTTACGTGAATTTGAAAACGTTGATAAAACTTTGTTTGTTTATTTTATTTCACTCTTTATTTTTTCAAACGAAATAAAGATTATTTAAAGTGAAATAAATGTAAAACTTAACACTTTTGCGACATTAAAATAGCGTACTTGATTTGATTGTTTTGCACGTGCTGTTTGGCGCTACATTGTGACGTCACGTAAACAATACTTTAAACGTCTGTACAGCGTTAACGACTGAATAAAAGATATTGGTGTTCAGATTCATTTTCTTAGTTAGACCATTTCTTTAATTCTAGATAGATTTCACATCAAAATTCGACAAAAAATTGTTTTAATTTATCAGATTTTTCAAACAAAATGGCGCCCTCAATGTGAAAATACACAGGGAGATAATAAGAACGGCGAGTGCATTGTTGTCGGGCCTTCTTTGTTTATATAGAAAAAATTCTGATAGTGTTATCTAATGTTTTGTTTGTTGAAAAAAGAGGAGGTAAATGTACATTTTATGAAATCCAGCAAAACCTATGTACGGGAAAAGTCGGTTAAAATATTCGTTCAATTTTCATTTTACATTTTCCGTTTTAAAACTGTCATTCGATATTTTATACACAGCTTCCGTTATTCTGGTTCCCTGTCCAATTATGGTTCTCATAGAAAAGCGCAGGTGACCAGTCTACACATCCGTTTTCAGTCAGAATTCCTCAGTTTTTATCGTTATCTTGTAATTCGAAAAGTTGCGATGTGTCCAATTCGGTACTTCGGACGAAAGTTTTCAAAACCATCACTTAGCAGGTACTCGCGTTACCGTAAAGCTCGCTTTGCGAGCAGGCCCTTCGGGCCAGCTCGTCGAGCTCGCTATAAAAATGTAAAAATAAAGGTATCCCATGTACTGTACTGGTCGGAGAGATAACTCCGACGCATAGATAACCCCGACACTTGATAAATATAATTGTTATAACTTTGTTTTTCAACAAACAAGCACATGGTCACCTAAAAGTATAGGAGCAGGACAGAATGGGATGATTTTTTTATAATTTGGTAAACTTTTTAATGTTTTTCAAATAACCTAAACTTTTCATAGGCAGAACTGCTTCAAAACGTTCTTTTTACTAAATTACAATAAGGTAGTTAGAATTGTATTGACCACAGGCCACTGGCTTGGGAAAGATTTTTGAAAAATTGTTTAAATATTCACAAAAACTAGATAAAACATATAAAATGTAAAAATAAATTATTGATGCAGATTTTCCAGTCATTTTTTACTTTAAAAATTAAGTGTCGACTTTATCTACTGTTGTGGGGTAAAAATACCATGTTTTGTATACCTTTTTCAGGACCTTAAAGAAGTACCAGATTCCATTTTCATACATAATTTTTGTAGTATAATTAATGTAAAGTCTTTGAACTGAAGTTTGTTTAGGTGGTTCAATATTTAAAATATACAGGAAGATAATTAAGATATTGCAAAAAATATGTGATTTAGTGTCGGAGTTATCTCTCCAACCAGTAGACCTGTATGATATGGATTTATTTTTGAAATTCCTGAACAAAGATTTCCCTAGCACAAACCACAGGTGGCAGTATCAGTGTTTGGACACCCCACCCCTATCTGCCCCTGGACCCCTACTACAACCCTGAAAAAAAAAATTCAACACTCTAAGGCTTACTAAAAGGTACCAAATACAAAACCACCGATGAAATTATATAAAAAAAAAAAAATTCCACTATCAAAATTATAGTCTATAACTATAATTTTGATAGTGGAAATTTTTTTTTTTTATATAATTTCATTAATGAAACCTATGTTTCATTTCTGACAAAGTGCTTGAATATTATAATCCACAATATAATGAAACCTGTAGAGCTCTCCGACATATCTGGCCACCAATAATATTCCAAACAATTTTAATGTGGACAAAATCATGGTCCAGCATAAAGACTGATATATTTTAATGTGTAAAGCAGTTAAGGAGTATTTTATGCATGTCACCATCACCACTTCATTGTTAACATCTTTGGTGCACATACTGTTTGGTGCAGTACTGGGCTCACTTGCCAGTGGTCCTGTGTTACTGGTTTTTGTTTTGGGATGCATTCATCAAATGTCACGCTTCCTTGTTGATCTATCTTTTCGTTAAACTTTTGAAAATTGGCCGTTTTTAGAATAAAATGTGCTCCTATTTGCCACTTGTGATGCTGTTTGTAGTTGAAGGTGTTTAGCTCCCTCTGTGACAGGATTGTTTTTAACTTCTTACTTTTATGTTGTTTTTTCTTCATCTTCTATCTATCCTAAATAGGCAGTTGGAAATGCACAATTTCAACTGAATTTGTATTCTAGACTTAACCAAACTTGGAACTATTCATTAGTAAATGATTTCAGTATCAAGTTAATAAAGCAGAGCAGGAAAACATTAGGGTCTAGACAAACCATTGGAACATGCAATACTAACAATGCCTTTAATTTCATATTATTGTACCTGGCAGCCTAAGCTAAAATTTTAAACAAATAGCTTCATCACTATGTGCTTCATTTCATTGTTGTTTTTATTTGTTTGGGTCGTCAGACCAAACAAATAATGGTAGCGAAATTTCAGAGTCTAATGCTGTTAATTGCAAATGCCGAAAGTAGTCCACTTTTTTGAAGCGGTTACTTCCCTTTATATGTACACTAACGCCGAAAAATTCCGGGGAGGTCACTGCGTAAAGATGGTCAAAGACAGGCACATTAATTTTCAAGCAAAATAATTCCCGAATGGTCGAAGATTTGTAATATTGTTTTATTGTATTTTCTGATCGAAAATAAGTATATACAAAGCGGACATTCAATCTCTGACACAGAAGTTTACGACAAACCTAACAACAAGTAGTTCTCAAAACAGCTTAAAACTAGCTATTTAAAAGAAAGAAATATTTTTATTTTGTTACAAGTATCCAACAAATTACAACGCATTCAAAGTTTAAAAATAGCGTTGGCTTATAGAATTGTCAATAAATGCACAATCACAAATTACGCGGATGAATATGATTTGATCAATGAAAATACTATTTTTAGCGATATCGATTACCGAATACTACACAAACCGAGTAATGGAATATATAGATTCTACATGTTGAACTGTTTGGGCGAGAAGATTTTCGCTAAATTATTTACTTCAATTTTAAACAACAGGTTTATCCTGAACAAAATACCTCGAAATTAATAAGGATTACAAACCCGAAATGCAATGGAAGTTCTAAATTAAGAATGACTTGATGTTATTCAGACATTGTTTGTATAACTTCTCCGTGGTGTAGGGGTAACGCCCTCGCTTAGTGAGTAAGAGGTCTGGAGTTCAAAACCCAGTCGAGGAAACTTTTTTTTTTAAATTCTTTTTTAAGTGTCTTTGTTAAGGAAGTAGCCATGATATGCAAGGATAAACTGTAGCTGTCGTAAAAAATGAACATAAATGATATTTTGATGCAACTCTAGTTATGCAGAATTCCGTATGTATCAAACTCTGGTGCCTTGCAAAATGAATTATAATACATAAAAATAAACTTATACAGGAAAATACATACAGATATACAGTACGATTTAGATTGCAAAGATCAGAAAATACCACAGAACTTGCAGCCCTTTGATTCTTTATAATATACATGCTAATAGTAAGCTCCAGGATTATTTACATCTGTGTTAAACAACAGTTAAAGTCGTTACAAGCCCTAATTTAGAATAATATGGTTTTCTTCAGGCCGTTCACATATAAATTCACCGTGGCTGAAGGGTTTACGCGCTCGCTTAGGAAGCGAGAAGTCTGGAGTTCAAATCCCAGTAAAGGCAACTCATTTTTTTCAAATTGTTTAAGTCAAATAAACATTGGATTGAATATCAGTGTTGCAATTAGTCTAATATATAGCCAATTTACTACAATTAAACCGCTGGAAAGCATTGGTGGCACTATACATATAATCTCACAACCTGCACCTTTCTTACATTCTGAGACCCAAACAAATTCAGCGCCTTCTGTGCTTTGATTTTTCTGGTTCTTCAACTATATTTCACTGTGTTAAAGACAAACAGAAACAAAACTGTTTTAGCTATTGCCATAGGTGTAAGAGATGTTCCACCTTGCATCATCTCTCATTAACAGACTTACCCTAAAGTTGGCCAAAATGGGTTGGCAATGTTTACCTTTCACTTTTTTTTTTTAAAACTGCTCTCAAATTGTCACTTCTTTTCCAGGTTTTATTAATTTCTATAAAAAAAAACTTTTATAACAATTTTGATTTTTGATATTCAATGTACTTAACACAACATTTTAACTCTCAATATTATGATACAATTAAACTGAAAGAGGCCAAAAGCTCTTTAACCCATTGCTTCATGAGCATTTTGTGAAAAATGGCTGTTTTCATTGAAAAGTCACCCGTTACAAGTTCAAATTGCTATAATACTATAAAAACTGCTTCAACACTAATCAAACTTGGCACAAATGTTGACTGGACCATTGTCCTTGCAACAACATGCTCAGACTTAAATTTTCTGTTACCATGGCAACGAGGGGACATCTCAAAATTGCCAAAAATCACTATTTTGCGTTGATTTTTTCCATCAAAATTGATTTCAAAGTGCTGCAACTTATCAATGGATTGAGATAGAGTCAAATGCTTTTCAGCGTTGGTTACACGTTACCTTATGATCAATCTGGGGTCATTTACAGCCTCTCACAAGTCCAAAATTTTTCTTGGCGATGAGGGGGACTCCGCCCCCCTTCAAACCCCCCAAACAGAAGGGGGCACATCCCCCTTCTGGCAACCCCCTGATGTATCTTTTGTTGGGGGGCCGCGCCGAAAAAGAGGTCAATTTTTTTAAACAACATTTCTCAAACAAAAACAAGTGTTTGGGGCCTAAATAAGGCAATTTTTCATCATTTGAGACAACAAAAAGGGGGGGGGGGGTGAAAAAGGCGTTAAAAGGCGTGTATATGAAGTAATGGGTTAACTGAAAATGATGAAAATACTTGAAATTACCCTAAATCGCGTTTTTTCATGTTTAAACATGGCCTGTCATATAAATTTGAAGAAAAATTGTTGTTTTGTAGATTTTTTTATTTTTTTCATTAACCCATTGCTTCATGAGCATTTTGTGAAAAATGGCTGTTTTCATTGAAAAGTCACCCGTTACAAGTTCAAATTGCTATAATACTATAAAAACTGCTTCAACACTAATCAAACTTGGCACAAATGTTGACTGGACCATTGTCCTTGCAACAACATGCTCAGACTTAAATTTTCTGTTACCATGGCAACGAGGGGACATCTCAAAATTGCCAAAAATCACTATTTTGCGTTGATTTTTTCCATCAAAATTGATTTCAAAGTGCTGCACTTTCTCAATGGATTGAGATAGAGTCAAATGCTTTTCAGCGTTGGTTACACGTTACCTTATGATCAATCTGGGGTCATTTACAGCCTCTCACAAGTCCAAAATTTTTCTTGGCGATGAGGGGGACTCCGCCCCCCTTCAAACCCCCCAAACAGAAGGGGGCACATCCCCCTTCTGGCAACCCCCTGATGTATCTTTTGGTTGGGGGGCCGCGCCGAAAAAGAGGTCACTTTTTTTAACAGCATTTCTCAAACAAAAACAAGTGTTTGGGGCCTAAATAAGGCAATTTTTCATCATTTGAGACAACAAAAAGGGGGGGGGGTGGAAAAGGCGTTAAAAGGCGTGTATATGAAGTAATGGGTTAACTGAAAATGATGAATATACTTGAAATTACCCTAAATCGCGTTTTTTCATGTTTAAACATGGCCTGTCATATAAATTTGAAAAAAAAATTGTTGTTTTGTAGATTTTTTTATTTTTTTCATTAACCCATTACTTCATGAGCATTTTGTGAAAAATGGCTGTTTTCATTGAAAAGTCTCCCGTTACAAGTTCAAATTGCTATAATACTATAAAAACTGCTTCAACACTAATCAAACTTGGCACAAATGTTGACTGGACCATTGCACTTGCAACAACATGCTCAGGCTTAAATTTTCTGTTACCATGGCAACGAGGGGACATCTCAAAATTGCCAAAAATCACTATTTTGCGTTGATTTTTTCCATCAAAATTGATTTCAAAGTGCTGCAACTTATCAATGGATTGAGATAGAGTCAAATGCTTTTCAGCGTTGGTTACACGTTACCTTATGATCAATCTGGGGTCATTTACAGCCTCTCACAAGTCCAAAATTTTCTTGGCGATGAGGGGGACTCCGCCCCCCTTCAAACCCCCCAAACAGAAGGGGGCACATCCCCCTTCTGGCAACCCCCTGATGTATCTTTTGGTTGGGGGGCCGCGCCGAAAAAGAGGTCAATTTTTTTAACAACATTTCTCAAACAAAAACAAGTGTTTGGGGCCTAAATAAGGCAATTTTTCATCATTTGAGACAACAAAAAGGGGGGGGGGGTGAAAAAGGCGTTAAAAGGCGTGTATATGAAGTAATGGGTTAATGAATTGTTTTGTCACCCCACATACATGGTATATCAATGGGCTGTTACGTCACAGAAATGACTGGAAATGATTTCAAAAATATACTAAAAAGACTTGTTATTTGATACATAAATATTTAATCATTATCAAAAACAGCACAAAATTTCTGATAGCACAGCAATCAACATAAATCCTTCATATAAACCAAACAAATAAACCCATAATAACACAGGCACTTGTTCAAAATTCACAAAACTATTACAAAAAAAATATGACCAAAAAGTGATCACAACTACAAGTATGCATTTAATGTACCAGTGATTCAATTATATAGATAACATTTGGTGTAATAGATATTTGTGTCAGATATTTGTTATGATTGTCTTCAAGCAAAAGCTAAATTCAATACAAATAGAAATGATTTCATTTAACTAACACATATTGAAAACATATTGTTCAGTCCTAATTATTCATTTTTTTTGTTTCTTTTTAAATTTTATGACAAGAATTCTGAAAAATAAAAAGTAGACCAGATTAACAAATGGCATTTACAAAAAATCTTCAAAGTTGTTACAAAAACAGCATTATTATGCAAAAATCCAACACAGCACCAAATATAGCCAGCATACTTTTTTGTCATAAAATAAATTATAAACATGTATAAAGCAACTATCAAATTAATTAAGGAAGACTTGAAGTGTCCCTCTGTGATTATCTCTGGCACAGGGGTAAAACTGCATACACATGAAAAATATCCCAAAGTCTTTGTCAGATTAAATTCTGCACAAGTGAGGTATAATCACTTTTTGTAATACAGTTTTCTTGTAATACACTACAGTTTTCTTGTATGACACCATTAACAAGATTTCGAATTAAGAATTCCTTTTTTTTTTAGACATAATTTTAGACTAGTTACCAAGCAAAACAGTTCTGAAGCAAAATGTTGAAAAATTTACAAAAGCTGATTACAAACATGTAACACACAAGAAATTTATCAAGATATGAAAACTAATCATCATAAATTGTAGATTTTTGGTACAATCACACCTGCATGCTTGATCTAACATAACAAGTAACTTAAAATATACCAGTACTTCCATTCAAAACTCCTTTCATAAATCATACACATTATCTTAATGCCCAGGAAATTCTTAAATGTAAAGACAATGGTCCATCTGTTTCACTGCTTTAAAAAAATACTTTCAATATAAACACTGTTTGTATTGAAAGTCGAAGTACTACCAACATATTCCTATGTTCATATTTTCTGATCAGACTTATTGTATCCTGTATCCACTAGTCACAATTTTTTTTTCTTTTCTCAATTTCACATAGACATCTCAAAAACAATCACAAACCAATACGCTGAGATTCAGTAATAATCAAGGAACAAAACATTTTTAGCTTTCTTTCATCTTAAAATAATTCACAAACTAAGTAAGTCACATTTAAACTTTCCTAGATGTAATGTCAAGAAATGCAAGATTTGTAACCTAGTTTTTCATTTCATTTAAAGCCCTTAAAACACCATTAAGATAAATATTACAAGACTTACTTCATCAAAGAAATCTTTACAAGTATATTTGCTAAATTGTGTTGAAATAAACTCAATATGTATTACCATGACAACTTCAAAAATGCAATCCATAAACATGTACACATTAACATTACCCCTTATAATCATTTATGATATGAATATAACCATTTTCAAAATTTTCTTTTGATTTTGACTGAAAATACTTTTTTAAATGTTGTTATATTAATCTATAAATGCATACATAACTCGTGTATACACCTACCATACTCAGGTATACATTTACACAACATACATTCTATCATTGTGTACCATACAGTATTTATACATAATCATAAACTTTTTATCAATTTAATATCATATCAATATGTTACTAAACAAATACTGGATATACCCCGGTTTACTTAAAACATAGAACTGCACATTTCATACCAAAACATTTTTCCTTTTCCTAAAATTATGCCATCATCTATTCCAAGTATGTTTATCATTTTGTTACAGACATATGGCCACAACAAGAAGAACATGTAACATACTGTTTTACAAGCTGCATAATGAAAATAATGTGTTAGGTATGAAATGTGGTATTCTATGTTGAACAAGTCACTTATTTTATATCACATTATAATGAGAAAACTGAGTCAGATCAGTTCACAACACACCACTGTTGATGAGATTTATTACTCAAACTTGATTCCTTGTGCCAGTGGAAGCTCTTTACTGTAGTTTATTGTGCTGAAATAAAATATAAATGTTATATGAACATTGAACTATCGGGTATTTAAGCCTAAAATATTAATATCTTCAATACCATCACATTTCAGGAAACTTTATCATCATGTTTCTTCTGTTAAGAGCATAAAACATTCAAAGGCAGGATGTTGATATATTAGTGAAAACAATGAATTTAGTATCTATTTGAATGATGGGAAGAAAGATTTTACAAAATTTGTGACAAAATGAAAAAAAAAAAACACAAATGAACTTTTTTGAGTTTGTAGCCATTTTTATACACAGGAGAATACAAAAAAGATAAGACATATTGTTTGTCAGCCAGCAACCTACAATGATCAAGTCCATTCTTACAAATATCTAACTTACAATGAGCAAATATTTGAAATTTATTGACTTTCACTACATGTTTACAACATTGAACTTTAATCAAATAAACAAATAAAACTCTGAATCAGTTTATCCCTTTTTGCTATTTCATACCTAACAAAGAAGGCTTATTTGACATATACTTGGTATAAATTATAGTCATGTGAAAAAGTTTTACCAAGTTGATCTCCTCATATATTGTTTCCATGCATCACTGCCGGATTCACGCCCACCACCTGTATGCTTTTCTCCACCTAACATATTTATAATACAAAATTACATGAACATTCATTCTTGTAAATTTAAAAGTATCAAAAATATTCTATACATCAATACTTAAATGCATTGTCATTTAAACTAAAGGTAACATAATTATAACTTCATTACTGTTTAGTTATTTTAATTTCCATGGACACTGTATCACAACTTTAAAGCTTTAGAATAGATTATCTTTATAAGACTCTTTTACAAAATTTGTTGGGAAATCATCAAATTAAATTTCTGGTTTTATCTTTAACACAGTTTAAGATACATTTAACACAATCTAGTAAAAGACTTAACTTTTTTATAGCTTTTTTATCATTCCCAGGTTCAAACAACTAAATACTAGTTCTTTGGTATTTAGAAAGAAGTGTTTTATATTGAAACTTGTCAATGCATGAATTATATTTATAAGTTTACTAAGATGGTAAAGTTTAGTTAAAACAAAATGTAAGAAATGATTTTACCAAAGGCACCACCAATCTCAGCACCACTAGTTGGTATATTAACGTTAACAATTCCACAATCTGAACCTTTTGGTCTGAAATGATAAAACAGAATTTTTATTCACCTGCTGATTTCATCTAATGAAGTTGTCTTCCTTTTGATTTAAATCTAAATAGATTTAACATTGACCTACCTCTTATTAACTAAATTTTAACTAAAAAGAACCTTTTCAATATCATTGGTTTAATTTATCTTTTCTTTACATATGCAAAACAGTTTGACAATAAATGACTTGGGATCTTTGGTAATTTTGCTATTTACTTACTATCTTAATTACATATTTGCAAAATGCAGCTAGATTTATTACAACAATTGAAGAAATTTTAACTAAGAACATGCACATGATAAATTAGCCTATGGAAGAAATTTTATACAGATAGCCTATGAACACACCATTTCTAAAAAATTGCATTACATAGGTTTTATTATAAATCATGCTGAAACTAGAAATGTGTCATCATGCCACGGATGCCCCCGCATGCAGCCAAAATTTCAGATTTTATAATATTTAGTTCCAAATTTGTTTGCACAAATTATTTTTTTCATTTTAAGTTCAAAGCCCTTAAAACTATTCAATGTTAACACAAACCATTTTTAAACAAAGTTCAAGGCACTGAAACTATTCAGTGTTAACCTTTTGTAAATTGCATATTGCATATTTCTAGCCAAATTAATGGCTACATACATTTCCACAAAAGTATGAGTGCTGAAACTGAAAATTCAAAATTTTTCCAACATTCAAGGGAGATAACTTTGTCCAAAATCATTGAACTACGACCAAATTCAAACTTGAACTGCTTATTCCTAAGATGTATCTATATGTCAAATTTGAGTTGAATGTGTAGATCTACAACCATTGGGGAGATAATGAACTGAAACTTAAAATTTCTGATTTTTTTTCAAAGTTCAAGAGGGATAACTCTGTCAGCTATCATCAAACCATGACCAAATTGGAAATTGACCAATGCATTCTTATGACATATCCATATCTTTAATTTGAGTTGAATATGTACAACTGTTGGGGAGATAATGAATGGGAACTAAAAATTTCCTTTTTTTTTTCAAAGTTAAAGGGGCAAAACTCTGCCAAAAATCATCGAACCATGACAAAATTTGAATTTGACCTGCGTATTTCTTTGATGTACCCATATGTCAAATTTGAGTTGAATGTGTAATACCCTAGTGGAGATAATGAACGGAAACTGAAAATTTCATATTATTTTCAAAGTAAAAGGGGCATAACTCTGCCAAAAATCATCAAACCATGACCGAATTCCAACTTGACCTGTATTTTCTCATGACATATCCATATGTCAAGTTTGAGTTGAATGTGTTATACTGTTGGAGAGATAATGAACGGAAACTGAAAATTTCATATTATTTTCATAGTAAAAGGGGCATAACTCTGCCAAAAATCATCGAACCATGACCAAATTCGAACTTGACCTGAATTTTCTAATGACATATCCATATGTCAAGTTTGAGTTGAATGTGTAATACCGTTGAAGAGATAATGAACGGAAACTGAAATTTTCATATTATTTTCAAAGTAAAAGGAGCATAACTCTGCTAAAAATCATTGAACCATGACTTAATTCGAACTGGACCTGTATTTTTTCATGACATATCCATATTTCAAGTTTGAGTTGAATGTGTAATACCGTTGGAGAGATAATGAGCGGAAACTGAAAATTTCATATTATTTTCAAAGTAAAAGGGGCATAACTCTGCCAAAAATCATCGAACCATGACCAAATTCGAACTTGACCTGTATTTTCTCATGACATATCCATATGTCAAGTTTGAGTTGAATGTGTAATACCATTGGAGAGATAATGAACGGAAACTGAAAATTTCATATTATTTTCATAGTAAAAGGGGCATAACTCTGCCAAAAATCATCGAACCATGACTAAATTCGAACTTGACCTGAATTTTTTTCATGATATATCCATATGCCAAATTTGAGTTGAATGTGTGCAACCCTTACTAAGACTAGAGGATGCTTTTGTAAAAAAGCGCATGTCTCCCCCACTGCTGAGAATAACTGTGAATGGAAACAGGAATGGAAATGGAGATAAGATAATGTAAATACCCGGTAGTCACTTCAATGAAGGCTGTCTATGGATGGTTTCTATTGTTAAGGTTGTATGAGAAGATGCTTCCTAAACTAAAAACCAGGTATTCAATTTTGAAAATCCTGGTTATTCAATCAGCGTATGGCAGGCGGGCGTCAAACGAAATTGCACTTGATGGTCATATCATATATAGTTTCACAAATGAAATTAAATGAAATTGTGTCTGCTCCATAATTCTTCAAACCTTGATAAGAACTCTAGTTATCATCCGGAAATGAGAAAATGACCAATGGTCACTGTGACCTTAACCTTTGACCTACTGACCCCATAAACAAGAGGGATCATCTGCTCAATAAGACCAATCATCCTATGAAGTTTGAGGGTTGTAGGTCTAAAGGAACTCTAGTTATCATCCGGAAAGGAGAAATTAACCAACGGTCGCTGTGACCTTGACCTTTGACCTACTGACCATTAAAACAATAGGGATCATTTGATTAATAAGACCAATCATCCTATGAAGTTTGAGGGTTGTAGGTCAAAAGGAACTCTAGTTATCATCCGGAAATGAGAAATTGACCAACGGTCACTGTGACCTTGACCTTTGACCTACTGACCCCAAAAACAATAGGGATCATCTGCTCTATAAGACCAATCATCCTATGAAGTTTGAGGGCTGTAGGTCAAAAGGAACTCTAGTTATCATCCGGAAACGAGAAATTGACCAACGGTCACTGTGACCTTGACCTTTGAACTACTGACCCCAAAAACAATAGGGATCATCTGCTCAATAAGACCAATCATCCTATGAAGTTTGAGGTCTGTAGGTCTAAAGGAACTCTAGTTATCATCCGGAAACGAGAAATTGACCAACGGTCAGTGTGACCTTGACCTTTGACCCCAAAAACAATAGGGATCATCAGCTCTATAAGACCAATCATCCTATGAAGTTTGAGGGCTGTAGGTCAAAAGGAACTCTAGTTATCATCCGGAAACGAGAAATTGACCAACGGTCACTGTGACCTTGACCTTTGAACTACTGACCCCAAAAACAATAAGGATCATCTGCTCAATAAGACCATTCATCCTATGAAGTTTGAGAGCTGTAGGTCAAAAGGAACTCTAGTTATCGTCCGGAAACGAAGAATGGACGGACGGACTGACTGACGGACGGACGGACTGACGGACGGACGGACAGGGCAAAAACAATATGTCTCCCCCCGAGGTGAGGGAGACATAATAATGAACGGAAACTGATGATGACGGAATGACAGAATGACGGAAGCACGGAACAGGGTAACACTACAGTATATGCCCCAGCCATTATATGGCGGGGGCATAAAAAGTTGACAACTGTTGACAAATTGCTACAAAACTGTAGAAGAATATTTATTATTCCACTTACCCCATCCATTTGAATATATTTCCCAGATCTTTGGTGAACAAACTACTAGATAGACCTTGTTTTACTTCATTGTTCATGCTGATAGCATCATCTAGGTTCTACAATACACAAACAATTATAAATCTAATATATTGTACATTTCTCACAAGCTCAAAACACTTTCTTTATACATTGTAACTCATTGACATGGCACTAAAATCTTCACAGTAGTTAGACATCCATCATTTAATGTTTTTTAAAAGACATTTGGTGTTTTTTTTTTTCTTGTTTTTTTTTCGTATCTGACTTTTACCTTGTTATTATAATTATAAGCAGGTTGAACTAATTGTACAAAGGAGATGATGCTGCATTAACCATACTTCTAGTCCTGTATGCCATTTTGTTAAGCTTACCATAACAGTCTTTCATAATTACTTGCTACAGTTCATTCCCATACAGTTTTATCAAAATCTCTGCAGTGGTTCAGGAAAATATATTATTTGAAATTTATTTCTATAATTTTAGCTCTAGCAGTAATCAGTGGACTGGAATGATTTTAGCTATTTCCCTATCAGTTTGAAATGTATATTAGTGGTAACAACAAACTTACCTTAAATTTAAGAGTGTAAACAATAGGTGCAAATGTTTCAGTATGTACAATCTTATCATCATGAGCGAGTCCTGATATGATAGTAGGCTGTACAAAGTTACCAGGTCTATCTATAGCCTATAATAAACAAATAACACATCAACAAAATATTCATTATCAGAAAACAATGAAAACATACACATACATAATGCACATATAGATCAACCTTAAAGATATAAAAGTCAAATATATTTTTATCAATTATTAATATTCAAGAAGCACATAGTTGTATGCTGAAAGTATAATTATTGTCATAAATTAGTTCTTTCTGAAGTCTCATTCAAGCAATGCCACTATTACGTTCAATTATTTGATGTAAAATCAAATATTACAATCTGACAACATTGCACATAAACTTCTAAGCAGCTTTTAGAATTTTTCTACTTCATAAACATATGGTATATAACATTTCCCTCCATGTGTAATGTATGAAATAGGCATTAACCCATAATATGCTGAAACTGGAACTATTTAGCCTATGTCACCAGTATAGAACCAGACTAGCCAACATATAAGTACAGTCTGACAATGCTGTATACTGTTGGCTGACTAACTGTTTTTTTGACAAGGCTTTTTACTGTTGACTGACTAACTTAAAATTCATCTTGATATCCTAAACTGACAATAGACAGTTCCAAACAGGGATGCTGGACAAGTCCATTTTAGAAATTTAGGTTAAGATTTTAATACATCAAATTATTCTGGGTAACTTAAATTACTAAGCCAGCCACCTTGAAAAGCTTTTCATCAATCATTAAAGACCAAGACTGTTATCTTTGTAATTGAGTATATTAAAAATACCTCCCCTCCACATTCCACTTTACCGCCAGCCTTCACAGCTTCTGCCACTGCATTCTTAAACATTGTTACTGCATCTTTACTGTGTAGTGGTCCATATAATGTGTCAGCTAATAAATTAATATACAGTTAACTGGTTGACATTATGTGAATGAGTAACTGGTTGATACAATATAAAAGTTAACCAGTTGATACAATATGAACAGTTAACTGGTTGTTACTAAGTGTAAGAAAATTAATGATTTCTAGAGTTGATACAATTTATAAGTTTATGTAGGCTAACCAGTCAATATAATATTTTAATTAAATATTGATATACACTGTTAGCTTTAATTAGAGAATAGTTCATTTTCCTGAAGATGTCTGAAAACTGTACTTTGAAAGCATATCATGTACTAATATAGCTTGATAACCAAGAGGAATATGAAACAAGAGCTGTCGGTAGGACAGCAACGCTAGACTATTCTTAGTGCTTGATAGTAAAAAAAATGCTTGATTCAATTACCTCCTCCTGTTTACAGGTTGGGGTAATGATGGTGAACAAGTGTGCAAAGTTTCAAAGCCATATGTCAATGGACTTTGAAAATATTTGAACTATTACAAAAACTTTAACGTAAATTCTAAGTCGAAAAAGGGGCATAATTCTGTCAAAATGCTTGATACAGTTACCTCCTCCTGTATACAGGTTGGGGTAATGATGGTGAACAAGTGTGCAAAGTTTCAAAGCCATATGTCGATGGACTTTGAAAATATTTGAACTATTACAAAAACTTTAACATAAGTGGTTACGCCGACGCAGACGCCGACGCCGACACTGACGCTCGGGTGACTACAATAGCTCTACTTATTCTTATCGAATAGTCGAGCTAAAAAGAGAATTGTAGAACTTACATTCAATAGGATCTCCTATTCTAAGCTGTTTGTATGCCTTCACCAGTCTGGTTACCACTTCATCATGAACTGACTCGTGTAAAATCTGAAAATATGTTTCACTTTTTACTTAACTTTTAAAATATTGTAAAGCTTTGAATTTTTGTTAAATTTGTTAGAACTATTTATATTCAAGTCAATCTACAAAATAAGTTTCATTGAGCTATATTGTAAACTATTTGACATAAAGTCATAAGAAAACTGTTATTCTTTAAATTGCTGGAAAAGATCTTTGTTTTGTTTTTTTCTTTTTTTATTCCAGGACAAACAGAGCATGCAGTACAAAAAAGCAATTTTCTATCATTCATTGAAACTACAGTGAATTTTTCATGCTAAATGTTAATGATTCTTATACAGTTATATAATAGATAATATAAATTATTAACATACCAGTCTTCTAGTTGTGGTACATCTCTGACCAGCAGTACCGGCACATGCAAACACTGAGGCTCGTACCACCATGTCTATATCAGCATCATCATTTACTGTAACATTAAATATCAGTTATAAAAATGGCCACATGTATACTTTATAAATGGTGTTATATCTAATATATTTAAGATGGACATTATTTTACCTGCATATATATGAATACTGTCAATACACATTTTTCCTTAGAGAAAAACTAAACTGTAGATGGTATACTTAGTTAAAATCAAATTTTTACTTGTGTTTATAATTTACAATAGGAACTTCAAACAAGAAAACTATCCAGTGGTTACCTATAATAGCATTATTTCCACCGAGCTCCAGTAAGAACTTGCCGAACCTCTCCTGTACCATCATGGATACTTTATGTCCTACCTGTATAAAACAACCATTAATTAACTACTTTATACTCTCTCCCTTTATTCTTGTTCAGTTAACATTTTGAGCTAACTTAATTAAGGACTACCTAAAGGATCACTCCTGTCAAGTTCATCAAAATCTGCCATATTGTTAGGGAGGAAATGTCATTTAAAGTTTATTTCTAATCAAAGCTTTGGCAGTCATCTTGTTCAGGAAATGAGAGTGGTTTTAGATCCTTTAGAAAAGGATCATCAAACAATCATGCATATTGTTTCATCATATAATACTCTGTTATTGTTTAAGGTAGTACACCCCTAATGCACTGTCTCCACTTTGAAGAGTATTCAAATAGGCTAAAATCACTGTAAAGTGTATTGAAACTGACGGGGCGTGGGTTCAAACCCCAGAAGGGGCAATTTTGTTACTTTCTTTTTTTTTCTTTTTAACATTTTTTATTAATCTCTCAGACCCCCTATGGAAGTAAAAAGTGTTTTATTTTAATTATATAATTATTGTAGGTATTTATTTACTAAATAATGCCAAATTTAATAGCAAATATGATACCAGATATTTTCAAAGTTTAATAAAATAAAAACTAAACGGTAAAAGTATTTTATATTTTGCAAGACCAACCAATATACATTAAAGAAAATTTAGGCAAACTTTGATAATAGCCCCTCATTTTGGAAAATTTTAGGGATATTTTAAATAAGGCTTTTTTCATAGGGAAATGGTCAAATTAGTGTTAAAAGTGGGTGGGGTGGGGTTACATTTTTATACATATTAAAAACATTTCGTTTAAAAACAATCATTTTGCTTGTTTAATTTGTTACCTATATGTCATTGTTTATTTCTTAACAATGAGCAAAAGGAAAACATTTTTCATAATGATGATATTATAGATTATTTAGAGTTTCCTCATTTCTGAAAAAATCCCTTCTAATGGCAAATTTTTAGTTCATAAAAATGTCCATAACTCATAAACCACACGGTAAATTTTGTTTAAATTTTGCATACAGGTGACATTTAAGGCATATAACTGTCCTATGTTGTCAAATTTACAATTCCTTATAGTGCCCATTAGGGGTGTACTACCTTAAATCAAAAGTTGGCTACACAGACTGATCATAAAACATTTGTACATAAATATTAAACTTGGCAAATTACATGAAGAGTTTTAAGTAATTTCTGTGGCTTATACACAAGTTTGAAGGCATGCCACCTTAATCCTTGCTTTTCAAGATGTAACTTGACAAAAACATCTGATCTAAAAACTTCTCTACACATATAAATTAATACCAAGGACAGATTTACCTTTGTGCTTCCAGTAAAAGACACTAATGGTATTCTTTCATCTTTGGCTATCAGACTCCTGAAAAGTTAATATTTTAATCAAGATATAATACATTTCCTTCCTATCAATTAATGTACAAAAATTTCAACATAAAGATTTTCATTATCATGTGTTTTACCAAACATGTGTGTTTTATTATATATCTTAAGCTGAGGCTCTGATTTTATGACTGGCAGAAAATAATTCACTCAGGAAATGATTGATTTATCGAAGTCATAAAAGACAAACTATTTTCAGCAATTTACTCTATATTGACAAAGACGTCAAAATGTTGTGATTTTGTTGTCTAGCAGTAAATAGTACATGTGGTACAGCAGAATTCAGCCACAGATGCCCTTTATAATCATTTCTGCATTGTTATAAATAAAATCTTCTAAGTAGGTCCAATACAGATTCCTGTAATTTGATAACTTGTTATGTCATAGAGGTAAATACATGAATAACTTGTTGTGTCATAGAGAGGTGTTATGTCATAGAGAGGTAAATACATAATAACTTGTTGTGTCATAGAGAGGTGTTATGTCATAGAGAGGTAAATACATGAATAACTTGTTGTGTCATAGAGAGGTGTTATGTCATAGAGAGGTAAATACATGAATAACTTGTTGTGTCATAGAGAGGTGTTATGTCATAGAGAGGTAAATGCATGAATAACTTGTTGTGTCATAGAGAGGTGTTATGTCATAGAGATAAATACATGAATAACTTGTTGTGTCATAGAGAGGTGTTATGTCATAGAGAGGTAAATACATGAATAACTTACCCAATATCAGCACCACCACACACCATAGAACACACAGATCCTGGCATACCATTCTTCTCTAACACAGACGTCACTACTCTATAAATATATCGTAATAAACTTAGAGTAAAATTCAGCCATATTGTCAGCGCAAAGTCGCAAAATGGGCAATAAAATTATTTATTTCATGCTTTTCGGTGGTTTATAGAAATATATCAGTGATATAAAACTGGTAATTTCACTGTTTGAAACAGTGAAATTACCACTTTGATAATTTCACTGTTTTGCATTTAAGCCCCTTACGTTGTTTCAGTGAAATACCAGCGTGCACAGAACTGGGTACCAACTTAATGACGTAAATGACGTCACGTTGTATTATTATTTGGCGGGCATATCATTCAGTATTAGGTTAAATGTCTTTTTAAAATGTTTCTTTGCATAAAATAAAAAGAAAATTTGTTTAGTTTAGTGTAAGATCGAAATATATTTCACCTTGTGAACACCAAAAGTTTATATTTTACTCGTGGCTGCGCCACTCGTGAATTATACCTTTTGGTGCTCACTCGGTGAAATATATTCCGATCTTACACTGAACTAAACCAATATCCTCTATATAATAATGATAGTTGCTAGACATTGTGTGATACAAAGCTGTTGTCAAGTTGTTAATTAAATCTAATTTAATTACCATCCCGGTTATTATAGAGCAGATGTAAAGTCTGGCATACACAATGCTATAAAATAGTATGTTAGCATACAATGATATATTACAGATAAGAAATATTCATATGAGACATTACATGCAAAATAAATAAACTAGAAACTACAATGTCATATTTAAGTAAACCTTATTTAATACCTGTCCTTTTTATGCAACGATCATGCTTTTACACATTATGTTATTGATCATCCCTTTTTTGTATTCATTGTAAATGCCATGTAAAAATTTTCTTGTATATGAGGAATAAACTATGTTAAAAGCAATCAAAATGAAAGGTAAGGGAGAGGTATATTATAATTTAATGAAAAAAGATTGATTTAATAAAAAAACCCTATGAACAATTTTTTAAAAATGTTAAAAAACTTGTTTAAGGGTTGCTGGTCAAAAATGGTGTTATGGAGCTCCCTTTTCCCCAAATTAATAATATATTTATGGGTCTTATAAAAAAAAACGTTTGTTTTTTTTAAAAGAAATAACATTTAATAAGTTTAAGAAATGCTATAAAGTGAGTTTTGTTTAAAAAGTTTTAAAGGTAAAAAATAGCCATGATAAAAAATGTAAGCTTAAAAAAACTAAAAAGGGATAAAAAAAAATCAAAAGTATCTTTTGGGATGAAATTACCCAAAAGAAATCACCCAAAGACATAGAGTTGCTCACATCATGAAGTTTTATGCTTATTATGTGTTATATAAAATATGTAATAGTTATATTTAATTAACATATGATAAAAGGAATCTTATAAAGGATACATAAAGGTTTGTTTTATTGGGTTTCAAGTCACAAACACACTGTACAAGTGAAATGGTAACTTTCAAGCTGTACTGGATCAGACATCCTAGTCGAACCATCACACTTGCTTAACTTATAATCATTACATATGTCTCAGTTCAGAACTGGTTACTATTTAGGAGAGAGAATTTGTAAGCAGCCAGATAGCTCAGCAGCAGAGTTGCGGAACAGTATTCGGAGGTTTCATGGCTCGATCATGGTCAGGACTCAGGCTGCACATTTTTCTCACCCTGTGATAAAGCAAGCAGTCACTCATAGTACTGTTGATCATGGAATGCTTTCTACAGTCATTAGAAAAGCATTTTTGCGTTGGCTTGTACGTAAGTTCTTTGCAAAAGTGATAGCAACTAGTACTAGAAAACTGCTTGCCAAGGAGCTATGCAATGGCTGAACTTTACTCTAGCTTACTGCTGTAATTAGGAGGTTAAACTACCAACAACAGCAGCAGTCACAATTTGTACTGTTGCCCAAATATTTTTCTTTACATGGAAACCCAACTAAAACAAACTTGAAAATGATATGTAAACATCTCACCAAAGTACAGTATTTCCACAGACTAGAGCTATTGCATTATTCCAGCCATACACCGCCACAGGGAAGTTAAAAGCTGTTATAACTCCAACGACTCCTAGAGGATTCCATTGTTCTAGTAAAGCATGACCTTTTCCTGTAAAAAAAACCAACTTAATTAATATCCATGCATTTGTTTTCAGGTTTGATTTGCTTTGAAAAAAAAAAATTGTCAACAATTCAGAGACTTTAGAATGTATTAAAAAAGTGCATTTAACAATTTCAAAGAGGAAATCTTTCTTTCATTAGCTTATCAACTGCTTTAAACATTGTTAAGAATTTAACCAGTCATTCTGTAGCTGCTCAAATTATGGACTAAATCCAAACAATTTTTTCTAAGGCCCCCAAGAAAAAATCAAATAGATGGAATAAAAATGGAGAGCAATACAAAATCAAATATTTTGATTTTGACTTACAAACAAAATATCCATGCACCTTTAAAAATGTTAACACATAAATTAAAGTCAAGAAAGTATGAGAGTTTGAAAGTTATTTACCAATGAATCTGGCTAAAACTATGATTGTAAACTTACTCTCAGATGGGAATACATGTCCAGCAAACATTCTAGATAGACCCACAGCGATAATCAATATATTCTATGTACTGCCTGTACCTCACCCGATACTCACTAGTATCTTCCATTCTCAAGTGATTTTCCCCGTATGTTAAAAAGAAATTTAAAAAAAAATCCCAAAAGTTAGTTTTTCAACCATTTTTTTCCCCAAATTTTTATACTTTTAAAAATTCCTAGAAAAATTTTAGAAAAAAACCCATTTAAAACCAAAAAAAAGCTGTAAGAAAGAAAAGGGATTTTGCCAAAGAAAAGGGAAGCAACGCCTGGATAAGTAGAATTTCTTTTGCAACCATGGCCCCTAATTTTGTCCCAAAAACCCCCTGTTTAGAGTTACAGGCCTTGGAAAATGAAACCCCCCCATATGCCTTTGAAAAAAAGAGTGTAAATTTCAACCCATTCCCCTTAAAACCCCGTTTTAAAAAAAACCAACTTGGGACCCCAAAAAAATTTAAACCAAAAGTGGGGATGACTGCTGGCAAAAAAACCGGGAAAAAAAAGTAGGTAAAAAATGCTCTCCTATTCCCCCCCAGATAAAAAAAAGCTTCCAAATTTTTAACTTTAACCCCTTTTAAATGGGGTTTGAAAGTAACAAAAACAAATTTTAAAAAATTTAATTTTTACTATCCCCCAAATTTTGAAAAAAGAGATATTTTTTCAAAAAAAAACACAAAATTTGTAGCAGTGAAAAAATTTCACCCAAAAACAAAACCCACCATTTCCCCTTTTTCTTTCTTTTCTCTCCGGGTTCCCCCCAACTGCGTACAATTTTTCCCCCTCCCTGGGGTGGACCATTCGTTACATTGACCAAAAAAATAAATTTAAATTTTTTGTTTTTGTTACATGTATTTAAAACATAACCCCAAAAAAATGCCCAGGGGAGAAAAAAAATTAAAACTTTTTAACTTTTTAAATTTGGCCCAAATTTGTAGCTTAAAACAATGAATTTTTTCCAGGTATGGTTATCAAGAGTATAAATTTCTTCCTTTTAAGACTACCAAAACAAAATTATCATAGTGAAAAAAGAAAAGAGCTCTAAATGAACAATTTAGTTTACAAGTCACTGGTCTCACCTCTGCCCATGTTTGCCAGGCATCCTTTGCTGCCTTCACTGCTCTCTCATAATCTTTAGAATTACCCTGAAAGAAAATATTCACCAGTATAAGATAACTTTCTTTGAAGTTTACATTTTTATTTTTCTATCTATTACTATTTTGGACAATTTCCTTTCCTAAACTTCATCTTAAAAATCAAACAAGCATTCCTTACAGGCATGAACTAAGTAGGACCAATGATTTCAGCATTTAGTAAAACAGCATGTATAACATCATGATAATAGCTCGTAACCATTAGTTTTGTCACATATAATCTTGGACAGAATAACAACATATTATGTCCCAGATATAATTAAGTGACCTAACAATGTTTTAAATTTGTACTAATAAGTTCATCATAAAGAAAATATTAACTTATTTTTTACCTGAGTAACTCTAGCAATAGGCTCATTTGTTGTTGGTGAATACGAGGTAACTTCCTGAAAAAGTAAAAAAAAAACAACTTCAAACAAAAGTATGAGAAAGATACAAGACTTATTTTTAAAGCAATCATAAATTCCAGACCATGTTCCTCCAAACCTTCCCATGCTAATGATAATTATTATGAGGATATTTTTTCCGTTTTTCGTGAAATATGGAATATATTTTCACGAAACATGATAAAATGCCACATATTTTCACTAGCCGGGACGGCGAGTGAAAATATGTGGCATTTTATCATGTTGAGTGAAAATATATAGACCATATTTCACGAAAAACGAAAAAATAACCTTTTTATTTAATTTCAATATCAAAGAAAAATGGTTACGAACCCCCTTGCTTGCTACGCAACTGCAATTGTACAGCGCGCAGTAATATAATTATTGTCTTGTTTTGCACGTGATATTTAGCGCTACATTGTGACGTCACGTAAACAACTCTTTAAACGTCTGTACAGCGTTAATGACTGAATTAAAGATATTGGTGTTCGGATTTATTTTCTTAGTTAGACCGTTTTCTATCATTCTAGATAGTTTTCAAAACAAAATTCGACAAAAATTTGTTTTGAATTTTCAGATTTTTCAAACAAAATGGCGAAAGAAGTCCCGTAAAATAAATATGAGTTTTGACTCCTCCCACTTTCATATTTATATTTCATATTTATTTTTAAAAAATATGAAATATATTTGACTGATATAGCACCATATTTCATGGGTAAAATTAAATAAAAGTGTATATTATTTTTGGAGGTATTAGTTGCTCAACCTCAAGTTAATCAGTGTTTTCCCAACATCTGTACAGTCTCAGAATTCACCTTGTTGCCCTATCTTCAACTGTCACTTCTTGTCTATTATTGACATGCATCATAAAAAATTAGCATATAATAATACTCAATTTGAGTTATTTCAAGATATGCATGAAAGACTGCTATATATAATTTTGAATTAGAATAATTAGAATATCAAAATATATAAGTGCAATGTCTAGTGGGTTCAGGAGTCTTTTTAAAATTATTTGTTTATATGTAAGTCAGTTAGAAATTGGCCCTAGGGCAGACCAATATATAATAATCCACTGCTAAAATAACCCTTAACTCAGAGGATGGCAATGGTGTGAAGTTGGTCAAGTAATATTCAATACAAGGATAGCAACTAGATCATGATGAATCTAATGTAGAAGAGGGATAACCTAGTACTCATACATCGAAGTTCAAGTCAGCAGAGAATAAAGTATTGAAGCATGTCTATTATGTGTGGGGAGACTATACTTCTGAGCAATTCATGCCGGGATGCAACTTCCTTCTTGAAAGCTATGGATTTAGTGGATTAAGATTTGATGTTTCTAGAAATAAAACCCACAATAATTGACATAATATAGCGGGTGATATGTCATGGTTCAGAACTGTTCACTAACTAGGGGGGATTATAAGTGTGTACGTGGCTGGATAGCTCAGTCGGTAGAGGTGCAGTACATTATTCCAAGGGTCCTGGGTTCGAATTGGGTCCCTGTCCCACTGCGCATTTTCCTCACCCTTTGACACATACAAAAATATAGGTAAATACAGTATGAATACATGTAGACTAGTGCAGTTATCATAAGACTAGTAGATTCTAAAACTTCAAAAGGAATGCAGCTTCTCAAACATATGACCGTTAAAGCATTCTTTTTATTTTAAATTGGAAATATCCAACAAAAATTTCCTAGATTTCAATAAATTTCTGCAATGAAAGTAGTTTACCAACATACAGGCTTAGTATATCTTTAAACCAATTAAATTTCAATACAGAGACACACCTTCAAAACTGGAAAAATGACCTTGACCTCAAGTCCCGTTATTTTTGTAAAATACTTATTAAATTTCACAATTGACTATCATTTAAAAGCTTATTTAATCTACAAATTAAGATGTCAATGAAATTTTTGTAGTTTCATGCAATTTATTCATAAAATAGAACATAAAATTACAACTTTTATTTCTTTCTTTTTCTTTTTTTTTGTAAATTACCTCTCCGTTAGCAATCCATTCGCCGCAATATACTCCTTTGTTCTGTGATTCCAGACCAAGTTCCTTCAACCAGGCATATTTAGGATTATCGATAAGATAAGAAGACATCCTGACAGTCGATTTTAATTGCGATATGACACGTTTTGCGATGAGAAGTTTGCTAAACGGTGTTACCCCACACTTGATAAAGGTAGCCATTTCCCACGGATAAGCAATTTGCCCAAATCCAGTTTAAACTACTGTAACACCGGTTTGCCGTGTTACTTATTTTTAGTGCTTAAATAGACAAAAAATATGTAAACAATGCAATACAACATTTAAGGCTCTTGATTAATTGCATTGTTACTGATATGCATAAATATGTACTGTAACTTAATCAATTAGATTCTAATTATTAATTCAAGTGAAAAAAATATTTTTCGTCATAAATTATATATTTTTCGGAAGAGCGGAAGAATACAAGCCTGAATATGGAAATATCGATGTTATCGAGCGAATCTTTACAGAAAATTCAGAACAAAGAACGAATATGAATTCGATGAAGATTTTAATGATAGCTCTTCTTTGTATGTCCGTCCAATATGATTCGGTTAACCAGAAAATCATTATGAGATATCTGCCCTTTTTTTAAGGGCCATGAGTTTTTGTTTATAAATAAAATTTAAAAAAAACGGATCAAAGGTTTACAGATTATGATGTAGAAGCGGTGGATTCTTATTTATATGGTAAATTTATCACAAATCAACAATTAACTTTGAGCAAAAAAATCACAGTAGAAGAAAATGCAGAAAACGTTTTATTTGCTAATTATCAGTGTACAAGCGAAAGTATCTCTTATTATTAGCAAATTCTATATCATAATACTCATACCAGGCGAACTTTTAATTCCGTCAATTTAGCAGCTACGGTGAAGATTCTATTAGCGCTGGCAGGTGATTTTGCGCTAAATCCAGGACCTATCCACAACCCGTGCACATCATGCAAACGGGCAATTGCACGGACACATCGTTCAGTGTGCTAGGTATATACAACATTGCAACGTTCCTCAATTCATTGGTCGTGTTTTCAACGTTCTGCTTTTCGGACTCATTCTTCGAAGACGAATGTATTCAGGATGAAATCACATTAACGAAACATCACAGACGCCCGAGGACAATGTATTCAAATGCATCAATAACAAAGGTCTACATTTTATTCATTTAAACTTAAGATCCATAATACTGAAAACGATAGTTAATAACTGCAATGCAGCAATTTTTTCGATATAAGAAACTTGGTTGGACTCTATAGTGTGTATGACGGTGAAATTGACATTCAAAATTATACTGCACTAAGAAATTATCGCAATAGAAATGGAGGTGGGGTATGTATGTACATTAGAAATGATATTTCTTTTAATGTAAGATATGATTTGTCAAACAACACAAATGAATGTATATTTGTTGAGATACTTTTGCCCCGGAATAAACCTATTATCGTTGGAACATTATATAGGCCCCCAAACAAACCGATTTCAATAAGTATCTAGAATCAATTATATCTAAACTTTCTTTTGAAAATGAAATATATATACTTGGAGATATGAATATATGCTTTTTTTGATAAAAAAAATCTGTTATATTCAGAGAATACTGCAGCATTTTGAGTTTATATAATCCTCAGCAAAAACAGCGACACGAATTAGTAATACGGGTTCTAACCTTATAGATCACATTCTACGAGTGTCTCAGTCTGTGGTCATTCCTCTTGGGTTAAGCGGTCATTTTATGACTTTTTGTACAAGAAATTTTGTTAAATCTTGTTTGATCAAACGAATGACAATAACTGTAACAAACATATAAGTTGCGTGAATGACGTCAGCAGTAATAACGTTATTGATGTAGAGGTAAATGATTGTCGGGAAGGCGTTGAGTGCGAGAATGTCGAGGCTTCAATGCTAACACATCATAGTGATGATGATACTTGTGATTTAACTGGTGAAGTTTACGTCAACGGAATAATAGCAATACAAATGATTCTAGAGATATTAAAGAAAACAAAAGTAGTGGAACTGAAATTGATTACGAGAATGAGGACGGCTGTAGTGTCGTTACAAGTTCTACCTAGGTAGATAATTTTGACGTCGACGTGAACAGTCATTTTCATGATCAAAACACACAATATTCTACTTGTGAAAGAATTGTTTATAACAATAACAACTGTTGTTTGGACAATAAATGTACTACAGAACGAAGTTATCAGTGATAACGTTTACGCTGAAGAAATAGTTATCATTTCAAATGACGGAGAAACGAGTGGAGGAGAAAGTGATTTTAGAAATGCAACAACTCGAACCTGCCACCTCTCAATATAAATTAAAAGTGTGAAACTTTACGTTTAGTAAACGCGTATGTACGGAGGATACAGTGTGAATGCTCTGCCTAGTGCCCTGTCCTGTTTTTTGTTTGGGGTCTGCCTGGGCTCATTGCCACTGGTTTTTGTTGCTGGGTCATGTGGGGGTTGCGTTCATTGAACGCCGCCTTTCCTTGTTGATCTTGTTTATCATATTTTGATTTTGACAAATAGACAAAGCATTAAACTAAAATACTCTGTGTTCATTCGTCTTAATAAGGTCAAGAAGACTGATATTCTTTTTCTACAGGGAACTGCAATGATATACCAAATAAGATATCATCGACATTATTGTTGGGAGTGCAAGTTTGTGGCTTTTACCACATTGTTTCCAGAATTTTATACTTCACAACAGCAGCTGTCAAGTGCCGTGTGGCAGCTGTTCTTATATTTTTCTGGTCCTTCGGGATCATTGATACCAGCACTATTAAGTTTTGAGAATTGAGTACCGCTCTTGAGAATAGAGTACCGCTCAAGCCGGTGCTAGGGGGCGTGAGGATGTTGCACTTATTCATTATGTACAGACTCAATCAAACCGAGTCTGCAATTTTCAAGTAATTTTGTTGTAATTAATGCTTCCGAGGGATCACTTTGTTTCCATATTTTTGTACAGTCATTAAGAAATTAAAAACTACTTTAGCAGACATAGATATACTCGGACAATATACTTTGTTACAGCAATGAACGTTATTACAGTTTGCAAACCTGTATGACTCTGAGCAGATACTTAGGGTCAACACTGCCATTTATGTTTAAAAATATTTCTGCAAGAAATTAGGAAAAATGAATGATGAAAAATTTCTCCCGGGCAGTTATTCGGAACCACTCTCGCCGACAGTGCTACGGAAAGCAAAGAGCGAATGGAATTTGCATGATGTTCTCCACAAGGATCCCATGACAGAGCTCTGCATAGTCGAGAGTTTTGTGTGGTGTAGAAAAGGGCAAACATTGTGATGGATGTTTTCAACAAATTACATTCCAAACATTTTCTAATGTTTTTTTTTCTCTGAACTTTCTTTAGGGAAAGTCAGGGAAATGTAAGGAGAGGAAGTGGAGTCTTCTATTTAGATGCCACCGGGACCGTTGTCCAGAAAGTCGGAAAAAGTAAAAAAAAGCTTCTGTATTATACACGTGTAAGCCCACCAGTGCTTTCAACAGAAGACAGGAGTTCTATACCTGTTCTTGAGTTTATACTCTCAAAATAGATAAATACAGAATCCTTAAAGAAAGCCCAACACGGCAAAATTGAAAATGTTGCAGGCTCGGTTTGATTGAGCCTGTTCATGGACGGTACTGGAAAGTGCAAGACAAAATACTCAGCAAATTTCTAAATGACTAAGCTTCTTCATTCACAAATTGAAGACATACACAACAAATTGGAGACCAAGAAGAATTGAAAGTGAATTGAGTTGGGCTATGGTCCACCCTGTCCTTTATGCATTTAATGTGATGACAGTACATAATTACCTAAAATACTGCTTCAAAGTTTCAAGTGGACGTCAAGATATATATCTGGTGATGTAACTGTAGTTCTATGTCCTGAAAGCTGTACGAGATAATTTGAGAGATAAAGGACTTCGAAAGTTGGCAATAAGGACATTTGCTGTTTTTCAAAACTGTTAAAAACATGTACAGGACAGTGTGCGCTGTGTACGAAGAACAATACGATAAACCAGGAGTCGTGGAAGAGAAACAACGATTGCGGGACATGGTAAAGAACGCAACTGTTGACGACACTAACCTGATGGTAAGCTATCATTTTAACTAGTAAACGATATGATATATTATAGTGTTCGCAACCTAGTCTGTCCACCATCTTGGTTGTGTATTTATATATAACCTCAAAGGGGAAAAGTAAAAAATCATTATTTTAATCTTGTTCATTTTAATGCCAATCTAGCAGTCGTTACATATGATTTATTTGTAAACTTACGTTCATTGAACGCCACCTTTCCTTGTTGATCTTGTTTATCATACCGAGTCTGCAATTCTTATGTAATTTTGTTGTGATTAATGCTTCCGAGGGATCACTTTGTTTCCAGATTTTCATGGAATGGCACTACTGTGTCACATTGAAGGTTCCATGATACGCAGATGTGTTCATACGGCGGTTATCATGGAACCTTCAATGTGACACTTCCGTGCCATTCCATGAAAGCACTTGACACCTGCTGTTGTGAAGTATAAAAATCTGGAAACAAAGTGATCCCTCGGAAGCATCAATCACAACAAAATTACATAAGAATTGCAGACTCGGTTTGATTTAGTCTGTACATGAGGGATAATGAATAAGTGCAACATCCCTCACGCCCCCCAGCACCGGCTTGAGCGGTACTCAATTCTCAACACTTAATAGTGCTGGTATCAATGATCCCGAAGGGCCAGAAAAATATAACAACACTGAAGCGGCGTATGGTCCCCAAGTAAAAGAATGCTTTTGCCCTAAACGAGAAAACAATGAACCAACATCTGAGTACCAGAAAATATGAAAAACAAGATCAACAAGGAAAGGCGGCGTTCAATGAACGCAACCCCCATATGACCCAGCAACCAGAACTTGATTTAGAGAGACTAAAGAAGAAAAATATTGGGAAAAGGACGCCGAATATATATAGGACTTCAAAATACATACAATACATGCTGGTTTAATTTGTCATTGCATGCACTGAGAAGATTTAGTACATTTAAGCAGCAGGGTCTGGTTGATTTTAAGGCTAACCAATAAAGTTTATGTCAGAAATTCTGGAAACAAAGTGATCCCTCGGAAGCATTAATCACAACAAAATTACAAGAGAATTGCAGACTCGGTTTGTGGGCCTATTATTATTTTCTTTGAATTCCTAAT